GGACGGGAAAGTAAGGAATACTTTGTCAGCAAATTCCCGTGAGAATTTGCTGGCAGCATACCGCCTTTGGTTTATTTTCTGGTTTTGTTTAGCTTGGCTTTACTGGGCTTTACTGGGCTTTGGGCTTTACTGGGCTTTACGGGGCTTTACTTGGCTTTACGGGGCTTTACTGGGCTTTACGGGGCTTTACTGGGCTTTACGGGGCTTTACTGGGCTTTACGGGGCTTTACTGGGCTTTACTGGGCTTTGGGCTTTACTGGGCCTTACTGGGCTTTACTTGGCTTTGCGGGGCTTTACTTGGCTTTACGGGGCTTTACTGGGCCTTACTGGGCTTTACTGGGCTTCACTGGGCTTCACTGGGCTTTACAGCAAACTTGGCTTTCCTGCAAGCGGCCTGACCCGAGTAGGTCCAGGAGCCAGATCTCGCCCTGGTCTGGCCCTGGTCTGGCCCTGATCTGGCTTAAAGACGCTTCAAAACCTACAGACTGAAGTTGAAGGACTGAAGCTGAAGGAATGACTCAGGTCGACCTCCTAGCAGGTTTGTGAGTCAGCCATAGCTTGGGTCTTTGCCAGGCTTAGGCTGTTAGGGCCAGGCTGTTAGGGCCAGACTGCCAGGCCCAGGTTGCCAGGCCCAGATTGCCAGGCCTTGTGTCTCTGATCTCTGACAACCTCGTCTCTTGCCTAGTCCGGATATTTTATTCTAGCATCTCTATGGCATGGCTGGATTTCTATTATCAACCTAACTCTGCTACGTTAAGTTTAATGAGCTTTGAAAGAGCTTCTCGTAAGCGTAACTCCACTATATCCTCACCAAAAGTCAGCCATTTTGTGAGCTCACATTGTTCAAATTCTCTTCTCGAAAAATCGAAGCTTTTGGAAGAGCCTTTATCTTGGCGATTGTTCTCCTTTCCCCCATCTTTTCCCCCGGGGATTTCCACCCGCTTCACCGCCCATTTTTCCCATCTTTTCCAATCTTTTTTGTGCTTTTCTTAGCTGAATCCTCAGCTATTCTTGATTTCTGACGTGACTTCTTTCTGGCTTCTTTCTCACTTTATTTGATTTACTTTTAGCTCAAGATCTAGAATCAGGCTTTAATAGGCTCCATCAGGCTCTAAGAGGCTCCATCAAAATCTAAGCCTAATCCTGCAAGCTAATTTTAAAGAACCCAAGAACCCAAGAGCCGAAGAGCCAAAGAGTCCAAGAACCCAAGAACCCAAGAACCCAAGAACCCAAGAACCCAAGAATCCAAGAACCCAGCTCGTTCTGACATTACTTTAAACAATAGCTGATCCAGAACTGAGCTAGCTTAGGCTATTGTTTCATTCTAGCATTCTTAGCTGACTAGCTGGCAAGAACTCGAGTCAAAATCAATCTACCCCTCTTTCCACTCAAAATCTCTTCCCCATCCCTTTTCTACCCAAAATCGCTTTTCTACTGCTTTCTAAATAAAAAGCTAGAAACTCACTTGAATGGGATCATTGAGTTTCGATTCTTTTTTTGAGTTCAGAGAGAGTTTTTGGGATTCTTGGGATTTTTTGGGATATTACGTGGTTGGAAGGGCCTCTTCCGGGAACCACAACGCAATTTTTGCGAAAAAAGAACTTGTAGCAAATCCTGATCGTAAAGAAAAGAAAAGAGAACGGAGAAGGAATAAGGAGAAGCTGAATGAACACTTCATTGTGCATTGTGATCTCTATTTTCTCTATTTTCGATCCAAAAAAACACCCATTTAGCATCTTTTTTTTCGATTTAAACAGGAAAAAGGTAAAAATTTGCAAAAATCAAAAAAAAACTAGCTTTTCCACCGGTCTCTTTGCCCTTTTAAATGCAAATTCACTTTTCACCCTTTTAAATGCAAATTCAAATTCACTAGAACCATTTACACTCATTTACACTGATCTTAAGGCAAAAAACGGTTAAAAAGTTCTATTTTTGTGAAATCTTTGAAACTTTTCGCGATTCTGGATGTCATTTTATTGTTTGTAAAGGTAAAGAGATAGCTATTCGTTTGTTCGTCTGCTTGTCTGTCCGGCCCTTCGTCCGTTCGTCTGTCCGTCTATCCGTCTGTTTGTCTGTCCGTTTGTCTGTCTGTCTGTCTATCTGTCTGTCTATCCGTCTGTCTGTCCATCCGTCTGTCCGTGGGTCTATCTGTCTGTCAGTCTGTCAGTCTATCCGTCTATCCGTCTGTCAGTCTGTCCGTCTGTCAGTCTGTCAGTCTGTCTGTCTATCTGTCTGTCCGTCTGTCCGTCTGTCAGTCTGTCAGTCTGTCTGTCAGTCTGTCTGTCTGTCCGTCTGTCTGTTCGTCTGTCCGTCTATCCGTCTGTCTGTTCGTCTATCCGTCTATCCGTCTGTCGATTCGTCTGTCCATCAGTCTGTCCGTCTATCTGTCTGTCCGTCCGTCTGTCCGTCTGTCTGTCTGTCCGTCTTAAGGAATATGGGACGCCACTTGGCCATGGTCAGAAGCAACTCACCTCCTCCCATACTCACGGTATGGGTTTACGGTATTTGTAGACAAATATAAAGGCTGTGGTGCGGAAGACGAGCGAAGCGAGCGTGAAATTTGCATTAGACGTTGGCGCTCGTTACGAAGCAACTTAAGGCTGTCACAGAATTCGGCGAAAAAAAATTTACTGACTGTCTATCTGCCTGTCCGTCTGTCCGCCTGTCCGTCCGTCTGTCTATCTGTCTGTCTGTCCGTCAGTCCGTCAGTCTGTCCGCCTGTCCGTCTGTCTATCTGTCTGTCTGTCAATCCGTCTGTCCGTCTGTCCATCAATTGCCAAAAAAGCTTGACTCAAAATCCAAAGAATTCCAGAAAAGAATTGCATTTTCGAAATCGAATTCCCATTTTTTTTCAATTCCACTTTGAAAATTCGATTTAAAATGCATTTTCGCTTTTTTTTTTCCCAACTTCACTATCATTTCCAATAAATTGTAGTAGAAATTTGATCGATTTCGCCAAAAAAACTGGGAAACCTTCAAATTCGAGTAGAAATTTTGCAAAAATTCGGGATTTTTTATGTAAACAAAGCCGAAAATCAGAAAATTTTTTGGGGGGAAACGAGATCTCAAATGAAAAATGGGGAAAATGTTTGATTTTCGCGAAATTTTCATAATTTTCAGCGATCCTGGATGTCACTTCATTATTTAAAAATGATGTTTTTTAAAATTTGTACAAAGAAAAAAAATTTTTTTTTTAAAGTGTAAATTTTGAAATTTTTCCTCGAAATTCGACACGTTTTCGATTTTTTTGCGTTTTTTTTTTCAGAATTTCTCTTTTTTTTCTTTTTGTTCGCCTTTTCCCCTATCGGAACACATTAAGAATGTACATTTGGGCATTGTATTCGTCAAATTTACATCAAATTTTCATAAAATAATTCCAGAACATCAGAAATCAAGGTTTTTTTGGGGAAAAGTTCGAAATTCATCGAATTCATCGAATTAAATCCATCAAATTGCATCAATATTATGTTTTAGCTTATTTTTAGCCAGTTTAGCTTATTTTTAGCCGAAATTTGCTTAAAAAAAGCGGGATTTTAAGCGAAAAATGAGATCTCAAGCAAAAAATGGGGAAAATGTTTGATTTTTGTAAAATTTCCAAACTTTTCGGCCGTTCTGGATGTCACTTTATCGTTTGTGAAAGTTTTCGAATCATTTTTTGTTGTTTAAGAAAAAAAATGTTTTTTTTTTCGAATTTCAACCTTTGTTCCTTGATCTAAGAATTCGATTTCCCAGTTCTACAAAACCTTAACAGCTTTTCATCTACTTTCCCATTGCCATTAAGCTTTTATTAGCCTTAACTAGCCTTTTGTTTATTTAAAGTTTTCAAAACTCTTTAAAAAGTTCAAAATTTGTCTCTTGTTAGCAAAAAATCGAGAAAATGAAAGATTTGCTTAATGGCGATGTGTTAAGGGAGTTTCCAATTGGCTGTTGCAGTTGTCGTCATGGCCTAGTGGCTAGCGCGCTGGTTCGCTTAAAAATTCGCTTAAAAAATGGGATTTTAAGCCAAAAATGAGATCTCAAGCAAAAAATGGGGAAAATGTTTGATTTTTGTAAAATTTCCAAACTTTTCGGCCGTTCTGGATGTCACTTTATCGTTTGTCTCGTTTGTCGCTGGTCGCTTATTCGGAATCTCGGTTCGACCCTCGATCGTTCGAAACTTTTGTGTGTTTTTAAAAAAAAATGAAAGCTTTGCTCAATAGCGATGTCTTAAACGAGTTTCCAGATTGTCGCTCAGGTGCCGTCATGGCCCAGTGGTTAGCTAGATGGTTTCCCAATCCGATCCTCGCTGGTTCGAAACTTTTGTTTGTTTTTTAAAAAAATTCGCTCAATGCCGATGACTTAAGCAAGTTTCCAAGGCGCCGATCTAGCTACTATCATGGCCGAGTGGTTAGCGCGCTAATTTTTCAATCGGGCCATCCATTGCACCGTCCCTGGTTCGACCCCGGCTCGGCCCTTTTGTTTTCTAAAAAATCGATTTCTTCTCAGAAAAGGCTCTTCGTTTCCGGTTTCCTTGGGTGAATATTTAAGTATTCCAAACTAAACAGAAGAAAAAGAAGTATTGAAAACTAAACAGACGAAAAAGAATGCTTTGCGTGGGCAAAAAAAGAGCAACAATTCGGGGGGGCTTTTTGAGCAAAAATGGCGTGTGAATTTCTTATTCGCTTAAATTCTTTTGTATCAAAGTTTTAGTAGTTTTTTTGCGGATCTGATTTCACTCTAAAATCATCCAATTACACGTGTGAGAAAGTTTTTTTTGGCAAAAGAAAGCCTCAAAACTTCAAAAAACTCTGGCTAAAGGGGGAAAATTGAGAAAATTCTAATTTTTTTTCATTTTCATTTTTCTTTTTCATCTTTTTTTCAATGTTTTCTTTTGAAATTGATTTTTTTTTTATTTAAAATTGCTCTTTTTAAAGTCTTATTCAATTTTGAAGCGAGAGAGAGCTTTATTTTAAGCTTTTTTTAAAACCCGATTCCTTCCAGGTAGTTCACTCGGCACACAAATGAGATCGACGAATTGCTCGCCGAGTTTCCCATTTCTTTTGATGATCGTCTGTTTGACGGCTTTCTTTTCACAGGGTGAGTGTCAGGGAAAATCAAAGCTATCAAAGGTTTCAAAGCTTTCAAGCCCTTCAAAGCTATCAGAGCTATCAGAGCTATCAAAGCTATTGGGTTGGGGGAGAATGAGTCGGCGCCGAAAATCAAAAAAATGTCTAAAACTTCTATTCAACTTCGTCAAATAATATGCGTTTGATATGAGTAGAATGGTTAACGAATTCTCTACAAAATCACATTTAAAAGAAAATTCAAACAGCGCCTCCGCTCAAGAAAAAGCCATTTTTTCACAAAAACTACAAACTGTGATCCAGAAAAAACCATTGGTGGGATCTTCCTGCAAATTTGGCAACTTAAGTAATTGAATGTGCTCTATCTTTTTTATATAAACACCAAAGAAGGTTTATGTGAAAGAAACTGTTCAAATGATGAGTCGGACTCTTTGCCATTTTAACCAGCTGCGTTTCGAAGTTCATAAACTCCACGAAAGAAAAGCTTTGTGGAATCTCTCAAAAGTCATTTTCTAGAGAAATAGTGGATCCTTTTGATGAAACCAAACGTATATTTAAAGAAGGCTTTATGTGTGCAAAAAGTCCCTTTAAAGTTTGGCGCCGACTCATTCTCCCCAACCCAATATCAAACCCTTCAAACCCTTCAAAACATTCAAAACATTCAAATTTTCAAATTCAAACTTTTTCAGCGAAAATTTCCATTTTTTTGCAAAAACTTTTGCCTTCGGGGGGAATCGAACCCCCGTCGAATGCTTCGAAGGCATCCATGCTAACCATTACACCACGAACGCAGCTGACCGGTTTGCGAAAAAAGCAGACTTAAAGGCTTAAAGAGATTTTAAGTGACCTTTTTTGAAAGCATAATTTCGTCGATTTTTAATTCGTTTTTTGTGATTTTGATGGGACAAATGTGGGACAAATGCGACCTTTTTTTGCGCACCTCGACATTTGCGCATCTCGACATTTGCGCATCTCGACATTTGCGCACCTTTTTTTGCTTGAAAAGGCCTTAGGCAAGGCCGTAGAGCTTCAAAAATGTTTCCAGACTGGGGAATCGTATGCGTAGATTCCGAATTTCGACAAATCAGACCTCGCTGACACGTCAAATTTGGGCTAAAAGGCAAAAACTGTGGAAAAGCGTTAAGTTGCGTAGTTTCTGCCTTTTACCTCAAATTTGACGTGTCAGCGAGGTGTGATTTGCTTTGATTTGTCGAAATTCTGAATCTACGCATACGATTCCCCAGTCTGGAAACATTTTTGAAGCTCTACGACTTTTCCTAAGGCCTTTTCAAGCAAAAAAAAGGTGCGCAAATGTCAAGGTGCGCAAAAAAAAGGTCGCATTTGTCCCACCCCCGATTTTGACAATTTCTAGATTTTGCTTTTTTCATTTTTTTTTTCCTTTTTTTCATTTTCATTTTGCTTTTTGCTTTTCCATTTCCTTTTTCGCAACTTTTCAACTCGATTCTTTATCACAAATCACTGAGAATTCAGCGTTTTTTATCGTAAACAAGCTTTCGGCTAATTGGCTAAAAATCTTTATTCCGGCAAATGAGATCTAAATTTTAAAACTCTTTTAAACTCTTTAAACCTTTTTTTAAACCCTTTTTAAACCCGGCTTAAACCCGGCTTAAAGCGGTTTTGGTTTTTCTCATGCGCTAAATGGAAAAATTCAATTTGAAACCTTTTTTCTAAGAATTGGTGATCGTTTCGCGATTGATTAGAGATTGTAATCGCGGCGTCTTTTCTCTCTTTCAACCTTGTCTCTTTCCCTCTCTCTTTCCCTCTCTCTTTCCCTCTCTCTTTCCCTCTCTCTTTCCCTCTCTCTTTCCCTCTCTCTTTCCCTCTCTCTTTCCCTCTCTCTTTCCCTATTGTCTATTCATCAAATCTATTCATTTTTCAGCTCATTCTATGCAGTTTTCTAAAGGATATCTAAAGAAAAAAAAAGTGAATAGATTGGATAAAAATCGAAATGCAGCCCGGGGACTCGAACCCGCGAGGTCATGAGCAACCTTTTGAGCGAGAGACCGTAGTACTAGCCACTGAGCTATGAGAGCAACGTGAGGGTGAGCTTGAAAAAGGGTTTAAATTGAAGCCAAATTAAATTGAAGCCAAATTTTCCACTTGCTGTCTCTTCAAATCTGTTTTCTAAAACGTACCTTTTTCAAAACTACCGTAATTTTGTCTTTTTTTAAAATTACCGTAATTTTGTCTTTTTTTAAAATTACCGTAATTTTGTCTTTTTTTAAAATTACCGTAATTTTGTCTTTTTTTAAAATTACCGTAATTTTGTCTTTTTAAAATTACCGTAATTTTGTCTTTTTTTCAAAATTACCGTAATTTTGTCTTTTTTTAAATTACCGTAATTTGTCTTTTTTTAAAATTACCGTAATCTTGTCTTTTTAAAATTACCGTAATTTTGTCTTTTTTTAAAATTACCGTAATTTTGTCTTTTTTTAAAATTACCGTAATCTTGTCTTTTTTCAAAACTACCGTAATCTTGTCTTTTTTCAGAACTACCGTAATTTTGTCTTTTTCAAAATTACCGTAATCTTGTCTCAATTTTTATCAAATCTCTTCACTTTTTAAGCTGATTCTTTGCGGGTTTACAAAAGATATTTAAATATATAAAAATGAATAGATTTGATTAAAAAAAGTGAAAGAGAAAAGGGAAAAAGTGGACTTAAGAACACTTAAAAAAACTAGAAAAGAGTTTGGAAGCATTTTTTGAGCAAAGGCACAACTTTGCACAACTCTGAAAGTCTTTGTAATCACCAAGCACGAAAGACCCCCCACTTGTGAATGAGCAACGAGAAGCTTTCACTTCTCAAGTGTTCAAGTACACTTCTTTGAGAGTTCGCAAGTGGAAAATTCTTCCTGATTTACTTTGTACTTTATGAAAATGCGTAAACGATCTCTTTCTGGCTCGCTTGTTTCACAAAAAGGGCCAGAAAAAGGTTCCAATACGGTTCCAATATGATTCCAATATGATTCCAATATGATTCCAATATGATTCCAATATGATTCCAATATGATTCCAATAAGGTTCCTATTTTGATCTAATACGGTTCCAATATGATTCCAATACGATTCCGATAAGGTTCCAATACGATTCCAATATGATTACAATATGATTCCAATACGGTTCCAATATGATTCCAATATTATTCCAATACGATTCCAATACGGTTCCAATACGGTTCCAGGTAGAACGCAAGATTGGCTTTCCGAGTTCGCAAGTGAAAATATTCTTCCTGATTTACTTTGTACTTTATGAAAATGCGTAAACGATCTCTTTCTGGCTCGCTTGTTTCACAAAAAAGGGCAGAAAAAGAAAGTAAAACCAGTCTAAAAGAAAGTAAAGTACAGCCAGTCTTACCAATCTTGTGTTGACGAATGATTCTGATAAAATTTGATTTAAAAAGTTCAAAAGCTTGATTTTCAGCGTTATCCGCTCCACAGCCGGCGCCCGTCGATCAAACACAATTCGAGATTGAGGACGGGTGAGTAAATCAAGAGGAAATTCATTTCCCAGAAACTAAGAGACACTCTTGAGTAGCCAAAAAAGAGTTTACTCACTAGTCATTACAATATAATCATTAGGATAATTTTTGCTTTTTTTGGTGGCACAGCCGAGAAAATGCCCGCACAGAGAGACAGACACTACTGAATTTTGAAAGCGTTCACGGTAGAATACTTTGTGTTATTCTTGTAAACATTGTGAACATCGTGAACATTGTGAACAAGAAGTCCTTAGGGATTTTCGATGGGATTGAGATCAGGATTGCATGCCGGACAGCTTGCCAGACAGCTTGCCGGACAGCTGGCCGAACAGCTTGCCGGACATCTTGTCGAACATCTTGCCAGACATCTTGCCAGACAGCTTGCCGAACAGCTTGCCGGACATCTTGCCGAACAGCTTGCCGAACAGCTTGCCGGACATCTTGTCGAACAGCTTGTCAAACAGCTTGTCAAACATCTTGTCGAACATCTTGTCGAACATCATGCCAACACCGGAATCTCCTTAGCAGCTATCCAAGCGGCTTCTTAGCTCTGCTCCTGATCTGCTTTGTCGAACAGCTAGCGTGAATCAAAGTCCGAAGTCATAAATCTCAAGTTGTTACCAGGATTTCGTCAAAAATAGTGGACTAGACTGTCTAGCACATTTTGGTAGTCCATGTTGTCCAAAGAATTCATCCGCGTTGAAATAAATCCCTCTCGCCATCTCGGAATGCACCCCATACCATACAGCTTTCACCTCTAAAGTTGTACTGAAGTTTTTTTTTGTACTGAAGCTTGTAAAGCCTTGACTCCTTGCACAAAATCTCTCCAGTATCCTCAAAAACCATTTGAACCATTCAAGTTGAACCTTTTTTTTTTCCTTACTCCAAATGATCTAAACTTAAATTTTTAAGAAACAAGCATTAACAAAACCTTTGTCCAATCGATGTTCTGATTCCGTTGCGCGAACACACTCGACCTTGTGCTGCTCTGTAAGACTCAGAGTTTCCTTCATCGGTTCCCGCGGGTGAATGGGTGAACGAAGAATCACATTGTGAACAGTTTTCCAGCAAACGGACAGATTTTTGTCTCTCTAATCGTTTCAAGAGTTGATTTAGAGCCTTGTCAAACAATTCTTCTTTGCTCTACTCGTTCGGAGAGCTCGATAAAGCTCGATAAAGCTTGAAGAAGCTCAAAGAAGCTCGAAGAAGCTCGATAAAGCTCGATAAAGCTCTATACTCTATGGACTTTAGAAAAATGGATACACTAAAAATAGCGGCATTTGATCAGTGAATGACATTGATAACTCACTTTTTCCGGGGGGCATTAAAGCGCTAAACGGAAAGCGGAAAGGCGTCATTGTTGAGAAAAGGTTTCAAAAAAAGGGGGGGGGGGAATCTCGAAGAAATCTCAGCAATCAGTAAAAAGAGTCGACGCTCTTTTTAACGTCATTCGTTTTTGGAGGAGAGGGAACAGTTGAATTTGTTCGTTGTAGAAGGAAAGAGATTTAGGAAAGATTTTTGATTGAATCTTTTGCAACAAGGAAACCAATGCCAAAATTGAAGTTATTTGTGGAGATTTTGTTCTAAATTTGTTTTACAATTTACAATACAATTACGATTACAATTACAACTACAATACAATTACAATTACAACTACAATTACAGCTACAATACAACTACAATTACAACTACAATTACAGCTACAATACAACTACAATTACAACTACAATTACAACTACAATTACAACTACAACTACAATACAATTACAACTACAACTACAATCCAACTACAATTACAACTACAATACAATTACAATTACAGCTACAATACAATTACAATTACAACTACAATTACAACTACAACTACAATCCAATTACAATACAACTACAATAGAAAATTGACACCAACCATCAACTACCCACCAATCCAATCCTTCCCCAATTTCAGCGTTGACAAGCGTGGCGGAGCTCGAGCATTCCGCGGTTTCTCCTCATTCATCCCATCAGCAAAGCGACTTTCCGGTGAGTTGTAAGCAAGGGAAACAGGGGTGCATAAAATCCCGTGAACCTAAGCCCTGTTTCACTAAGGAAAACCCATTATAACATTCACCAGATCTAGTTTTCCACGACCAGCAATCGTACCCAACCGTCAATAATTTGTTGCCAAGCGTGTCAAGCTTTAAACGCGTTTTTCTCTCGACTCGTTTAAGTGAAAATGCGCGTAAAGATCTCAAAAAATAGCTGAAATTCAGGGCTATTTTTTGATTTAAAAGATTTAGTTTTTAAAAGCAAGGGGGGTTTAAAAAAAGATCAAAAAAGAAAAACTAAAAAAAAACTATTGAATCGATGTTTTTTTTTGAATTTTTAAATGAAAGTTTAGCTAAAAATCTAGCAAGAAATCTAGGTAGATCTAGAAAAAACAAAAAAAAAAAAAACTCATATAATTACGGATGTTCAGGCGGATCCCCGTATTTCTTGATGGATAAACGCGGCGGCGGACGAGCATTCCATTCGGCGCAACGAAACCCGTGGGCTGGTCAAGGATTTGGTGGTTTCCGGTGAGTGTACTCGATCAGAAATTTGCATATGCATCTTTGACCCAAGCTAGCCTTTCGAAAAAAGAGTTTTGTGAAAAATATTCATTAAATTTTGTCATCATTTACCGCAAATTTTTTTATCCAGTGACCATCTATAGGAGCGTCGGGTAGTCGATAATTTAGACTCAAAGGACCGCTCATAACTCGGCGCGCAGACATTTGTTTTTACTGGTTTAGGTATCAAATTAAACTAGAGAAAATGGGTGTTTTTTTGCGATATAAAACAAATTCCTAGCATTAACCAGCGCTTAGAAAAAGGCATTGAAAAGTGACAAAAAAAAGTCGATTTTTCATCATTTTTGAATCATTTTTTCTAAGCGCTGGTTAATGCTAGGAATTTGTTTTATATCTCAAAAAAACACCCATTTTCTCTAGTTTAATTTGATACCTAAACCAGTAGAAAGAAATGTCTGCGCGCCGAGTTATGAGCGGTTCTTTGAGTCTAAACTTCGACTACCCGACACTCCTATAGATGGTCCTATAGATAACAGCATTTACGGTAAATCAAATACGAATCTTTCTAAAAGCTTGTGTGCTTGCCAATTTGCTTTTTTGCAAAGCCAATTTGCCAATTTGCAAAGCTCTGTTTCTTATTGCATTCCCCTTTTTGCAGACTGGAACGTCGTGGTGGTGGACGTGCTTTCGCCGGTGATTGGAGTGACGCTTTGGGAAGGTAATGGGGAAAGGAGAATGAATGAATTGATTGAAAGATTGAAAGATTGAAAGATCTTTCTTTGTCGGCTTTGTCGTATCGTAAACCTTTTGTCGAGCACGACAGCTTTAACAAATTCATAATGTCTTTAAACGTACAGTCACGTAGTCTTCTGGAAGAAGATATCGAATTTAAAAAGATCAGAGAACGATTACAAGAGAACGCGTTTCGTTTCAAGTTCGTTTCTTCGAGCTTCGAAAAGTTCGAAAAAGCTTCGAAAAGTTTCGAACCAGCGAGCATCGGACCAAGAAACCGGCGCGCTAGCCACTGAGCCACAGAGGCAGTTGGTGGGGGTGCCTGGAAACTCGGTTAACCCAACGCTGATGGCCTTGATCGCCGATTAACGCTGATAGGCGTACAGTCACGTAGTCTTCTCGAAGAAGATATCGATTTTAAAAAGATCAGAGAACGATTACAAGAGAACGCGTTTTATTTCGAGTTCGTTTCGAGTTCGAGTTTCGAAAAGTTTCGAACCAGCGAGCATCGGACCAGGAAACCGGCGCGCTAGCCACTGAGCCATAGAGGCAGTTGGTGGGGGTGCCTGGAAACTCGGTTAACCCATCGCTGATGGCCTGAATCGCCGAGCCTTGATCGCCGCTGATAGGCGTACAGTCGTGTAGTCGATAATTCTTTCACTGATAACTTCGCGTAAATTCAACGCTAAACGAAGTTATTATACTCATTCGATAGCTCTAAATCTCCTCTATTAAAACTAGCATCAAATTACCAAGGATTTTTTGCAAAATCAATAACAAATCCTTAAAAACAAGTTGACACAAAAAAAATCTTCAAAAATCTTCAAAAATCTTAAAAACAAAAAAAAGCAAAACCCAATAAACCCGATCAACTTTGTGCTTTCGTAAACACCGCTTTTCTAGCGTACCGCCCATTGGTTTATTGTGCGAGAAAGCGAGAAAAAGCGAGAAAACCATTCTTAAGACAAAGAAAAATTAAAATTTTCGTTTTCCAGGCTGTAAACCGAAACAGATTTTTTTGCAAAAAAAAAAAAAAAAACAATAAATCTTGACCATTTTCTAAGCTTTATCTTTATCACGTTTAATCTCTGAACAAATGTGAACAAAATCCTACTCCATAAAAAAAAAAAACTCCGGTTTCCCTTTTCCACCGACCGCTGACTCGTTGTTTTGCAAGCATAACTTTCAATAATGTGCTTTGTCAAAAATTGCAAAAAATTTTTGCTGAAGAAAAAATCATTTTCAATTTGCGTCTATTGCAATTGACGAAAGCACATGGATCGTTAATCGTTTATCTGAACAAAACCAAAACAAAATCCTACTCCATAAAAAAACTCCGATTTCCCTTTCCAAAACATCATCATCGTTTTTCCTCGCGCAGTCACATGACATCCATATCTTCTTTTTCGCATCGCATTCGCAATCGTGGGCGTATTCTCGTCTCATCGTTCCCCAGGGGGATACGGAAATGGGGAAAAGTTTATGGGGAAAAGTTACGTAGAAAAAAAAAAAAGTTTCGAACTATGCTTTTTTTCTCAACGATCAACAATGTTCTATTTCAGATATTACGATTCCCCGTACCTCTACAAGCGCTCTCTGGATGGCTACATGCTTCCATATGGATATTATTGAGTAAAATAGCCCGTAGAAGCCCCCTCAAAGCGATTTCTCCCTACAGTCTCACTTTGTGATCTCACTTTTTTGGCCCAATTGAACTTTTTTTTATCTTCGTCACTAAATTGGTCTACAGAAATAAACGTTTATTTTGTTACAATTTTGACGAAAAATAAGAGATTTTACAAAAAAAAGAACAAAAAGCACGACAAGAAATGCCGAAAATATCACAAATTTTTACACTGAAACGGATCGAAAAAAAATGGGGGAGACGCTTGAAAATTTTGGATGGATCGAGCTAAGCGGACAAAAACGCCCTTTGAACAAAAATTCTTTGAAATTTCAAGATGTTGCGGTCAAATTTTACTCGCGGGAATGCGCATTCGATGTCTTTCTTTTTTCATGTAGTCATGGGAGAAACGGTTCGCAAGATTTCGGGCAATAAAACAAAGAACAAAAATCACAATAAACAATTTTGAATTTAGCCAAAAAGCGTCAATTTTCTCATTTCTACAAACCAAAAGAAAGTCTCAAAATTTTTGGTGTTGAATTCGATTTTAAAGCAAATCTCTTTAGCTTAGTTTAGCACTTTGAAGGGTTATGTCGTAAATTTCAAAAACGAAAAAAAAAAGCTAAAAGCTCCACAAAAAGCACCAGAATTTCGTTAAAATGGTGCGTGATATTTACATGAAAAGTACAAAAATCACAAACTGATTGCTAGAGTTTACAAGATCGAAACGTATAATGCACTTTAGTCAAACTTGAATCCACCAAAAATCGTTCTCAATTTGCGATTGCGTGCGCCGGTAACGTCTCGAATTCGTCCTCTTTCGCCGGATTGCTGCTCTCACCCTTTTGAAGTCCGGCTTTCTCCTCAAGTTCCTGAAAAAAAAATAGTTTACTGGCAACGAGTACTGAGTTGTTACATGCTACAGTTAACGTTTTTCTTACAGATCAACTACTAGACACTGGTAAACGCTAATTTTTGGATAAGTATTTAGTGATTAGCACAACGATCTTCGTTATAAACAAGATTTTCGAGAAATTCGCCATTAAACTTGAGTGTATTAAAATTTCCTGGATCAAGTTCCATTCAGTTCCATTCAGTTCCATTGATCCATTGATCCTTGATAAGAATTGTAATTCAGACAAACAACAAACCTGTATAACGCGAGACGTTTCACGGAAGACTTTTCCTGGCTTGAAGATCAACATTTTCGAGAAGAAGCCAAGCTGAAGTAAAACCAAGTTTAGATTCTCAAAATATCACGTTTAACTTTAAAAAACGTACATCTTTAACCGGATAGAGAATGTGCATGTGCAAGTGATTGACGCGAATCATTGGCGGCCAGTGAAAACCGATACGAAGCATGTCTTCGACCTGGAAAAAGAAAAATATTGTCAACTTTAGCTCAGAGTTGCAAGTTTTAGGTGAGTTAGATACTAAAAGTACGACTTTTTTTTCTTTAAAGAATCAAATCCCCAACCGTGTCCGCTTCGCCTTTCGCTTTCAGATCCAATCGTAGCACCTCACGACCGGTTTTCTCCATCTCGCGAACTAAAAAACAAACAACATTATAACTTGAAAAAACAGCGTGATAAGTTGTATGTCATGTATGGTAAAGTTCGGCAAATAACACTTTAAAACTCACTCAACGGAATGTCGGCAAAGGTGAGATCGGTGGGTCGATTGATATGCGCATGCGAGAGGACCAGGTAGTGATGGGGCACCTGGGGCTTGTGGTCTTTAATCACGACACACTAAATTAAACTATTTTGATTTTGATTGTTATGAATTATCTTAAGAAATTTGTCAGGCATACTTTCAATCTTTTAAATCTCGTTAAAATGAAAGGGAAAGTTGTTCTATGCCAAATTTTCTAGGTCAAGCCAAGCCAATCCTTGGCGTTTAACTCGGCTTGATTAGTCACGACTTTTTGGATCAACCCAAGCTAACCTAGAAGGTTTTCTTAGGTCAAAAGTACAAAAGTCCATCCAGAACACAGCCCTTTCAATCCACCTTGTCATTCATTGCCAACTGAAGATCCCTCTTGCCATTGCCATGGATGATGTCGCAGAAGATGCAGCCGGGCACCGCGTTCATGGTCCTTAAATGAAGAAAACGTGATTTGATCAAGAAATTATTGGTATTGAAAAATAAGAACAAGACAATCGTGAGTTCAAAGACCTTAAATTTGCATAAAAATAAGAGATACCTGTACAGATAATAAACGCTCAAAGCTATTGGAATAGCCCCAAGTAGTGAATACCAAATATCCATGTTTTTTTGAGTAGCTAAGGATAGCTTGGTCAATAGAGAATTCCCGAAAAACAAGCGAAAGAAAGGGGGGCAAAAGAAGAAATGAGTAAATTGATAAGACGGGGAAAAAAAGAGCAGTTCTCTATCGATAGTTCTCTATAAACAAACGAAGAAATCTATGCATATCGAAGTTTTTGCAAATTTTTCAAAATTCTATCGATTTCGATAAAGTTAAATTAAGAATTAAGTTAAATTGAAAGCAATTCAAAGGATTCTTTTTCACCGAATCAATACGTTCAATGAAGAAAGACGGCATATAAAAGGAAAACGAAGTAAACAGCACACGCGTGCGGAAAATTAGCCCCTCGAGGAGGACATAAAAATTTGGGAGCTTGCCGGGGGAGTGAACAAAAGAGGGAGAAAAGCGGCAAAAATATTTGCGGAAACGAATCCTGAATGAGTTTTATGGATCAATCCACAAAAAAACTCGTCTTAACCTATTTTTCAGAACACAAAAGGTTGAATGTATAAATTTTTACGGAACAATCAGCAAAAATTCACCGAAATATCCCAATTTTTCAGAGCATATGAAATGGTTATGGCTGACGGGCCAATAAAATCCATTTGGGGTTCGTTTTCAAATATTGGAACGATTGCGGACAAAACTTTACTCCCATTATGGAGAAAGTTAAGTTTAACCCAGAATTTAGAGATAGAGAGCCAACATTATACACAAAAATGCCGATTGCCATCGAAACTATCAATTCTCCCTTTCCCCCCACAAAATAATCTCCTTTGTAATCGGTCGGAGCGTGGGTTTGTGAGTGATCAAATAGACCCGTCAGTACAGAGACACAAAAAGAAGAATATCACAAAATAAACTTTCGAAAGTACTTTCCAAGCGTGATTACGGACGTGTCTTTGCGAAGGTTGACGGGTTTTTCTGAAAACATTTATTGCGACAAAAGAAAACTTAAAACGAAATCGAAAAAAGTCACCAGATTAGCGCAAAATAGGAACAAATAACTTTTCGATCACTTACTAAACATACGGGTTTGAGAAATAGACAAAATATAATAATACCAAAAAACCGCATGGAAAACCTAGTAACCGGAATAATCTTCATGATCGAATAATGCTTGATCGTAGACTGAAGCGGAAATCGTTCGACCGCCGAAGAAACGTCCATCCAACGCCTTCTTTGCATCATCTACCTGCAAAAAAGAAGATTATAAACGCAGAGTTAGGTATTTTAGCGTGTAGTAGTAATAAAAGTTATATAAATTGCGAGCTTTAGGCCACAATACACTAATACTTGAATATTTGAGAAAAACCGCATACCTGGTTCGTCGTTGAGAACTTGACAAATATCTTGACCACATCATTTGCCTCGTCGTTTACAATCAACACCTAGAATCGGAAATGTAAACATAACTTCGAATCAACTTACGTCCTCAACGTCTCCATATTTCGAGCACTCTTCTTTTATTTCATCTTCCAATAAGTCATCGATCTCTTCAGCGCTCACCATATTCTTTAGCATCAATATTTGCGATCGATTCACGCGCATCAACTTTGTCATCAACAAGTGTCTCGAGTCGTTTCCACTAAAAAAACTTTCATGAAACTTTGAAAATAAACTTATTAGAGGTTAGGATAGCTTAAGCATAAACACCAACCGTATTTCTAAACCTTCCTGTGATGCGAGAGTTGCTTCATCCTTGTTCACTTCTTTGTCGATAATTTGATCACTCATTGCACCAGCTTTCTCGGCGGCTGCCAAAGCGGCATCGCTGTTCAACTAAAATAAAATGATGATTAAAATTAAGCACGAGCTATTTTCTAGATATAGCTTTATTTTACATACATAATGGTTTCTACATCTCCAAGAGTACAAACCTTTGGCCCTTTTGTGTTCGACGCTTTCACAGGCTTTGTTTTCCTCTTGATCTTTGCCGCTTTCTTTGCTGCTTCTTTGTAGGCAGCATCCTTCTCAGCTTTAGCCTTAAATAACAAACATTGAGGTCGTTCGTTAAACATTCCCAACCTTTATCAATTGTACTTGACTTCCACCGTCCATAATTGTCAGTGCGAGCGATTGGATGTCACCTTTCCCAGAGGAGCCAGAAGTGATCGCAAGTGGACCTAAAAAATCAAAAGTTTCATCTTTCAAAACATTCACAAACCAGTTTCATCATCCTCATCTTCTTCTAATGCGCCACTGCTCTCGGTGGGTCCAAAAGTAGCTATTTCACCGGGATTAAGTGTCTAAAATAAAGAATTTTAAAGTTCAACCATCTCTAATAAATTTAAACTCTCAATTCAATAAACTCACCGCATGAACTTTAATCCGATCGAAGATCGACTTTGACTCTTTCGTTTTTTTCTTTGGAGTGCCTCCCTGTGACTTTGCTGGTGAAGGAGTCGGCGGAGGTGGTTTGGCTGTTTGGCCAGTTGACAATCTTGGTACAACGACGGTCGGTTGTGGAACCTAAAGTTTAAAAATGAATGCAATCCGGCCTAGTACAAACCTTCAATAATCCAGGTGGTGGAATATTGGCAGCAGCTTTCGGTGGAATCGGCTTCACATCCGGCTTCACGTCATCGACTTCCATGGGGACTTCAGCTCTAGAACGAGGTTCAGGATCCTTCTAAATTGAGTGAATAAGTTAAATGAAAAAAAGAGGAAACCTTCATGAAACGTTCCCAAGCCGGTCTATCATCCTCGACTGGAGCTGGCTCCGGAGAAGGTGGTGGCAATGGAGGCGCTATTGGCTCAGCTAAAACAAAAATTATATGATTCAAAGGAATTTTAGTAATCTTAACCTGGTAGTTGGCCAAAATTAAACTCACCAAATGCAGCTATTGGTGGCTGTGGTGGTGGAACAGGACTTGGTGGAGCCAGAGAAGTCGGATTTGCAGCAACTGGTGGTGGTGGCGGTGGTGGAGGAGGGGCGGGTGAAGCAGCCTTTGGAGATGCGAAAACCGGGGAAGCGTCACGTTGCCCAAACAGAGTCGACGTTGACGGTGACGCGGCACCTGCTGATCCATTAGACTTTGGCTGAAAATTAGAAAGATTAGTCGATTTTTGACGATTTCTCAAAATTTTTTCGCTTCTTTGACCCCAAACTTTCTATTGCAATGCAATTTTTGGCCAAGTAAGGAATGCTTTTATAAGCCGATTTCAAATACGCCTAAGAACCCAACAAATAAGAATTTTAACCAAGAAGAATTACAAGCTAACATTGTAGATCACAAAATGAGTGTTGAGAGGGTACAATGAATGAAATCAAATGTATATCACACAAAAATAAAAACCTGAAAAAAACACAAAAGTTACAATCGATAATTCGCCAAAAGTCCCTAAAAAAATACGAGAAAAAAATAAGGAAGCAAACATTTTTAGTAGTACCTGCCATACTCCGGAATGAAAGAAAGGATCTAACAATTACGTGCGTGGCCCAACAACAAAAAAAAAAGAGAATAGATACCTAAAATTTGATAGTAAGAGGCTTTGGTAAGACGCTCAAATCAGAACTTTTACCTTCAAGAAGATTTCATAAATATACATATACCCAAAGAGAGACCATAAGTAAAGATATTTCTCTGAAAAACGCAAACGCCATATAAACAATCAAACAAACGAGACAGAACTTGGCCGGGTTTTCGTGGTGTTTTGATCTGTCAAAATGGGTGAATCGCTCAAAATTTCGATCTAAAATTATGATATTCTAGAAAACCCGACAAATCAAATGTGTTTTTAAAAACCAGGCAAAGGAGAATAGTAGGAGGTGGCAGAGTATCCGCCTGGTGGAGTCGATGAGTTGAATGGATTCATTTGCGATGAGCCGCTTGGACTGCTGCTGCCCTGAAAGGCACGCACCCTTACTTGAAAACAATGAGAGAAAGCTCCCCAAACTTGTTTGACCGATATTTTCTTTTTGATTTTCCTTAACGAATACCCAAGAATCAATGAATGATGAACAACTAGAGTTAAGGGGACATAATTCAGTAAAGATTTCACGAAAAGACTTAACTCTAGTTGCCGATATCGCTGGTTGACTAACCTGTGTTGCTTCGAGTGCTTGCACTTTGGCCGTCGCCGCCGCTAACGCCATTGCCGTCGATTGGGGAAGAGCTGACTGAAAAGAAAATGTTTATGAGAGATTGAAGAAAGATATTTTATGTTGAATCCAAAAAACCGACCGGTGCTGCCGGAACAATGTAGTTTAGAGCTTCGGGTGGAGTTACACATCGACCTACCTAAAAAGAAATAAAGTTAACACTTTGACATTTGTGCTCACCCTCAGAAATTGCCCTCCTAAGTCGAACATGTTCATCCCCGCGACCGCTTCAGTCATCGACGTCGCGTTATTAAACTCGATGTAGCCGAAACCCCTAAAATTGAAAAAGATACATTACAATTTAAGGCAAATCCTCACCTATGACCTCCTTTCACCGCATTGCGTGCCAATCTGCAGCTGACCACCTCGCCGAATGCCTCAAACACGCTCTTCACGTCAGTTTCAGAGAGGTCCGGATGCACGGAGGCCACGTAGACTCTAAAAGAATGAATGATTTCAATAGCGTTTAGAGCATTTTATTAGCCCAAAAAGTCAGCTTACCTGTAATACTTCTTTGCTTCTGTCATCACCATGTCGATAATGGGTTGAGCTTGAGGAGTGGATGGTGTGGTTCGGCCCATCTAAAATTGAAAATTCTTTGATGCCAATGAAATCGCATAACACATTTACATGCAAACACGTTAAAACAACAATTTTGCCAAAAGATGCCGTAACTTCCCTAACCACATCGCCTCTTTTTTTGCCATACCATTGGTGATTGGGACAAGAAGGCGGGTCTTTGGCACTGAAAGAACCCAAAGTTTTTTTGCAGACCAGGCCGAGTTTTTAAGGGAAAAATTGCTTACACCTTGTTACAGCATCTTCTAACACTTTTTCAGTTCCTCAAATTTTTAACACATCTCATCAGAAGTCGGTCGAGTGCCCTGAAAAAACGATTGCCGTGTCGCGTCCAGCGCCTTGCGTGTGAAGAATCCCCGAGCTCCAGAGGGTTTTTTATCGAATTTGATTCCCATTAGTTCCGTGAGTGAAGTACTGCAAAACAACAACAACAAAAAGGGCATGCACACGAACGAGGAGAGGAAAGTACACGCAAGGACACCACACAACAACATCACGCCATATCAAGTCTTAGTTTAAAACATTGGATAAAGATGTCTCAACTGGACACATTTCATTTCCGACTTGATACAACGTGATTGGTTCTCGTTTTTTCGAACACCGACCTGATTCTGATTGAAGAGCCGAGTGGGAAGCACCTTGAGATTTCGTCCGCCCATCAGCAAGCCATTCATTTGTTCCTGGGCCAGTGATGCCGCTTCGGGGACCTCGTACTCCAAGAAGGCGAATCCTTTGTGGTGCTAAAAAGATGTTTAGATTAAGTTTTATTGACAGTTTAAATCTCAGCGTTTACGTTGCCTATTTGCAAATCTAATAACTCACTCCGCTTCCAGCATCCCAACTCATGTTCAGCGTCTTGATCGGTCCAAACGGTTCCATCGCTTTTCTCAGCATATCTTCGCGAATCTAAACATTGTTTTATAAGTTAGTATGCTTTTGCAAGTGTCACCTCAAAAGATATCGATCCCACGTAAACACGAGCCATCAACGACAACGCTTGGGCGTACATTTGCTGCTTTTGTTGCTGAAAAGAAAGATCTTAGAACCAAAATTTTGAAACTAACATTCTGTTGATGAACTTGTTGTTGTCGAAGCATGATTTGTTTAATTGAGATGTCCATGGCGTATCGTTTTGCATCGTAGAGTCGATCCTAAACAAAGAGAGTCAAGGAAATTAAAAATTTAACTGACCTTATCTCTTGACCGCAACTTTTTCAAACCCAATCCGACGAGTCCAGCCTCTTTTTGTGCACCGGGACCAACGTAAACCTAAAAAATCTTGTCATTAATCCCAATGAACAAAGCTTAGACTAGAAATGGCTTTTACTCACCTCTCCAGCTTGCTGAAGAAACGGCATTGGAATGTTTGGAGTGGGCGCTGAGTGCATCGGATAGTATGTAGTCGCCGCCACTTGCGGTGGTGGTGGCACAGGCGTTGAAGATGAAGCGGTCATCGACGAGGCCAATTCGACGTTCTTCACATCGGTGTCCATTTCTACTAAAAGTAACAAATTAATACAGTTGAGATACTTCAAAATTTAACATAAACCTGTCCAATGATCTAGTATCGTAAATTTTTACTTGCCAACGAACTTACTTTGCTGAAATGCTATTCCATTTTGTCCGTAGTTCATTTGATCGATGATCGGGTCCTCGAACCTAAATAAATATTTGATAATTGGAACACTTGCGAAAATCGAAAGGTTACGAAATATAATACTTTCAAGTATAAAGTCGGTTTAAAACCAATCCTTTTCAAAACAACAAAAAGCACTTTTAGTAATCAATAAAAATTTATTGACTGTAAAGTATATATGAAACTCAAAATAATATTAAAGCGGCGGTAAATCGAAAAAATCTTTTCACACACTAGAAGATCAAGAAACGTACAGGACATACAAAGAGAAGAAATAAAATCAAAAGAGTTACCGCCAGAGAACATAAAAATAACCGTAGATAAAAATTTCTCTACCGTCAAAAAGAAGATGGGCATATTTGAGAAGGGGTAAGCTACTAGATTGACTTGGGCCGGCAAACACGCTCTCAAATTGAAGATTTGTACAGGGTGCTCTACAAGATAAAATACTTAAAACAAGAAACAAACTTCGAGAGAAAAACCTATGACATTAGGAGAAAATTGGAAATACACAACGCCATTTGAGGAAGAATGGATGGAGTGCTCGAGGAACCCCAAAGATGTCCTTTGTAAAAGATCACACCTCGAACACACCCGAACGACAAAGGAGTACAAGAATAGGTGAGTGCTGAGTGATTTCTCGTGATTGCTAAGCCAGTTGAGAGATCATTCATGACAAAACGACCGTACAAAAAATATCCAATAGAGGAACTGAGTGCTGAGTGGTCGACCGCTTCAAAATGGAGGAACAACAGATTCAACTAAAATCAAAATCGATTGGATTGGCCTGATTGATCTCTGGTAAAGTAAAGAGCATAAGCGTTTACCTCACTTGATAAAAGACGCAATTTGACAGAGGACACAAAAAAAACAGAGTCAATGAATAAATAAGCCTATCTCAATGGCAGATGTTGGGAAAACAACACGCTACTTTTGGCACAATCTGGGAAAATTATTTGAGACAATTTGGCTCCAGAAATTGTTCAAATAGGCATACAAACTACAACTCAAAGAATATCAAGAATAAAATCTGAACGGATAAAATGATCTAAACACACAGACAAATATAATCACCGGATAAACGAGAGAAATTTCATGGATGTGAGCAATTAATCAGATGACGATATGGAAGACGTTGTGAAAACCTGAAGTAAAGGATTAAATGGTTGAAAGTTTGGCAAAATTACCTTGGCGAGGGCATCGGCACCAGCAGATCCAATATACGGTCGAGAAGGATGAAAAGCCACGGTGTTCACGGAGGCGTCCAACTTCTTTCGGTGAGCTGCCACTTCCTAAAGAAAAGACATTTTTATAACTTGCAAAGTTATGAAAAGTTTTGAAAGTTGGTCGTAGTGCTAGGTAACTTTTATCGAATCAAAGTCTTACTTGCAAGCAGACTCGCTTTTCCATGTTCCATAGTCGTAGTGATCCATCGTGACTTCCCGAGAGCAAGTAGAGACCATTTGGATCAACCGCAAGTGATGAGATCGATTCCACATGAGCGATAGCCGCATGAACCAATTCGCCTAAGCATCCGTTCAATTTGAAACAAGAGTCCACAACTAACCTGTTCTGTTGTCAAAGTATCGCAGCTTCCTGTCCTCTCCTCCAGTGATTGTCATGGGCATTGTTGGATGCGATAAAATCTTGTTCACATCGGAGCCATTTGTTGCATCTAAAGTACAAAGTTATCGGAATACAATAAAATTACCAAACCTTCGCCAAAGTCAAACTTCACGACGTTTTGTCCAGTCTCGATGTCAAGGATTCCGGCGATATTCGACTTGAACGCGGTGAGCAGTTGTTGGGTCTCCGTTGAAACAAAATCGAGCGATGTTGGCGTCGAATTTTCCACCCAGCCAGTATACGTCTTGAGGAGAGGCGAGTCACCGAACATGCCTAAAACATAAGAAAATGAAATGTTAAACTTTTAACGAAATACCCGGCTCCCAAACTCGAATCGTTTTGTCGGCAGACGCCGAAACCAAGCGCGTATCCGAAGAATGATAGGCGACCGACCAAACCGCATCTGTGTGGCCAACCAGGCGCTCAACAAGCACAGCCGAATCTTAATAAGATATTGACATCTCTTCTTTTTTAAATCACCAACCATATTTGTCGTAGACGTCGCTGATGTTCAACGGGATGCTCCAGCAGCAAATAACGCCATCAAATCCACCCGTGTACAAATGATCTCCCGTCGGCGATAAGTCCAAGCACAGCGATGGTCCGTAATGGCCACGGAATGTGTAGGCCGGCTCGATCTCCACTAAAAATACAAAATAAGCAATATTATAGTTTTGCGATAGCATACCGTATTTATCTTCCTTCGTTTTCATGTCCAAATTCCACATTTTGCACGTACTGTCCTCCGATGTGGTGAAGAGAACCGGCTCAACTGGGTGAAACTAAAAAGAACTAGACGTGCAAGACAAAAAATTCAAACCTGCATGGCTCTAACTGAATCTAAATGCGATCGGAGCGTCAACGCGAGGTTCCACTTTGGTGTCTGTCGCATATCGTCATCCTAAAAAACAACGATATAGTATTATTAAACCTGAACTATACCTCTCCGGCAAAGTTGTCCTTGATATCAATGGCATCATCGACCAATCCGAGGGCCTCGTTGATGTCGGCGAATTCGCCCTTGCTTTTTCCCTTGAAGGCTAGCTTCTCACTATGGTGTCCATCTAAAAGAAATAGATAAATGCATCTGAGGATGATAAAGTCCAGTCAAAGGTTGTCCCGTACCTAGTTCTTCAATTGATTGGTCATTGAAGTCCTTGGATCCCCTTGTTTCATCGTTCGGCCCTCCGCTTCCACCCGAGTTTCGCTTTGAGCGCTTCTCATTCCTACACATTGACGGTTAAGTGAATAAGCTAACCAAATTACCTGTAGCGTTCAATTTTCGCCTCCAACTGCCCAGCATTCACATTCCCATCCCAATTGTCGTCACTCTTCTAAAAGGAAAAAAAATGAAAGGCCGTTAAATTAGCAAAACCTCAAGAAAGTTGAACTCGTGCAATGCATCGGCCGTCTCCATATCCAACTCCTGGCGTTGTTCATCGTTGTCCGAGTCACTAAAACCAAAAGTTAGAATATAATTTTTTTCTCCAAAGTTTATACGCCACCAAAACATGTTATTAGTCAACAAAGTGGGGGTTTGCTGAGAACTTGACTAAGTTTTTCACAAACTTTCTCGCGTTTATGCTCAAGCTGGTTTAGTGACTAAATTTTGTCTTAAATCTTTGCAATTTGTGGTATTTGAGAGTTTGTATAGCTACTAAATAATTTCAGCATTAAATTTCACCTGTCACTCCTCTCCTTTGCCTTTTTCCGTTTTACATCTGCGTCTTCGTCTGTTTGTTGCATCAAGTTGACGAGATTTTTCATTCGGAACGCGCGGACATCCATCACTGCCTCTGAGTAGCCGATTTCCTAGATACAAACCAATTACTTCGTCATAAAACTTCAAGTTTGACTAAATTGTAGAACAAGGGTAGCTTTTGTTTAAATACGCATTAGAATGCCTTAAGTCAAGTCATTGAAAAGTTTCAGCATCAAATTTAAAATCAAAAACTCCCCTAATTCTACACCTTAGTTTGTATTTTCCGCTTTCTAGCCTCTTTCATCCATAAGGGGTATTCGTCGCTCTAAAAAAAGTCAATTTAATAGACGCAGCAGTAAGCTTTGTGCCCTTTAATAGTTTAAAAGACAGTTTAGTTTAGTATTGGGTTGGCGGGGTTTTGAACGCGAATTTTTCGCAAATCAATTTTTTCCAAGAGAACGAAGTTATTAAAATTAGTTAGGTTTTTACCATTAGAAAGGCCAATCTGTGTTCTACCTTGGGCTTTTCAGCGTTTTTGAAAAGCTTCAGTTATGGCAATTTTTCCGGGATCCAAAGACAAGTCGTGAAAATCGTTAAAAATAGTTTAGTTGGGAAATTTTTCGATGGAAAGTTAGCATTGATTTTTGCTCAAATGAAAGACCAAGCCTTTATACATTTTCAGTCAAATTTTCAGCCAAATCCGTCCATCCGTTTTTTCTAAATGTTTCAAATTTGTTCGAAGGTCTCTCAAATGAGCAAACACGCTTATTTTAATTCATTCTTCAAAGAAACATTCTGAAAAAACGGCTGAAAGGATTTGGCTGAAAATTTGCTGACATGTGCAAAACGAGTTGTTCAAAAGTTCGAGTAAAAACATTCCAAATCGATTCCGCAAAATAGGTAGTTGTCGGCGAGTTTCAATTTTTGACGAATATCAGAATCGTCAGAATGATAAACGTTTATCTACTTATCTACCTCTATCTTTATCGTTTATCTACTTGCCTTTTGGGCCCCCGAAAAATCCCAAAAACAAAAGCTTTTCAAAATCGCTGAAAAGCTTAATGTAGAACACAGGACCAATTCTAATAGCTTCGTTCTCTTGGAAAAAGTATTTTTGCGAAAAATTCGAATTCAAAACCCAACAACCTAATTGTTTACAAGCATTAATCAAATTCTTAAAGAAAATGTTTGTCCGTGGATTGGCGGGAGGATAAATAGCACCATGTTTTAGCATTTTAGTAACTTTTGAATTAGAGCTAGCTTCCAATGATCACACCAAAGTCCTCACCTCCAAATATTGTTTAAGTAGAAGGCGGCCGGCTTTGAATCCGTGAAGATTTGGAGGAAAGGGATCGACCTCCGTGGTGGCTGTAGCAGTAGGAGCATCTAGTTAGACAAAATGTTATTAACTACGCGACAATGAGTTGAACCTTTGTTAGCCTCTTCCTCATCCCTGTAGTCCATTTCGGGTGGCTCTTCTCCATTGTGGCTCAAACGGTAGCACTTGGCTCTAAAATAGGAATTATGAAGGACTGATGTGTTCAAAGCATACCGCTCCTGTTTCAAGCAGTACTCAAGCATCTTGATTCGTCGCACCAAATCGTGACGGAGGTTCTCCTGGCCTTTGCGCTCGCCTTGTAGAAATGAGATTCGAGCCTGAAAAAGATAAACGTTAACAAACATAAGTTAATCATACTGGTGCTACTACATCGTAATCTCGTTCGCAAAAACTGAACGTATCTTCTTAAAAAATCGCCTGCTCACGGTATTTTAATGGTCCAGCTTTAATGTTTCTTTGGTATCAAATTTTGATTTGACATATCTCTACACTACGAAAGCGTGCTATTCTCAGGCTGCAAGCCTTCAATGAATAACAAAAAACAAAACGATTTTATAGGGGTAAACAAACAACACGATTTTATAGGCCTTTGGGATACTTGCTAAACCCATATTTTTCGCTGTGCCAAAAGTTTGCGTGTCCTGTCCTAGCTCCAATCCAGAGCTTCCACTCATCCGACAAATTCCAATCCAGTCGTACCTGCAGCTCGGCGCGTTCCATCTCCCATTTTGCTCGTTCCATCTCGTAGCGGCCCCACTCGTGTTGAACGAAGTGCAACACGCCATGCATCGTGTAGGGAGGCCGACGCTAAAATGAACAGATTGTATAAAGTTATGAATAGATTATGTTCTTAAGGTTATGAACGCAACTAGCTATTTGATTCAGCCCCCAAAAACAAGTATCAACATGTTTCTAGCAAAATTTTATACCTGTACTTAGCAATTTAGCAATTTTAAGGATTTCGCAGGATTTTGAGTTGAACTAGATAATATCAAAGGGGTTTTTTATGGATCTAGCTCAGAACAACAAATTTTAACCAAATCAGAGATTAATGTACGCTTAGAATTTGCAAAAAGATGATGATATCTATGCCGCTGTAAATTGCTACATAAGACTTTTCGAATGCAACTAGCAACCAACCAAGCTAACTTTTCAAATCAAAAGCTCATGCCTCATCTTTTCCATCTTGTTGTCCATTCTCGGATGCATCCGATCCACCCGGCCCTGCTAACGACGGTCCACTCGTAGCGACCAACATCGAGATCTAAAAAGAAATGAATTGCAACTTGCTGAAGAAGTAACTGCATGAAATGTAGAGAAAACATTTGAAAGTGAAAAATTTGCGTAAAAATTAGGATTTCCGCGGAACGTAAAGGTTAAAATGGAGCTGAAGGTCAACAAATGTCACTCGGATTAGATAAAGTAAGGGATGATCACGTCAAAATGATCCATTGAATCGGCTATTGGAAGGGTTACGAGATGAAATTGGAAAGAATATGGCATAAAGGTGAATTTGCTTGAATGCAACTTGATAAGCTAGTGTTTACGCTTAGAATATACTGGTGATCACAGAATATACTGGTGATCACAGAATATACTAGTGATCACATCTATGCAACTTCAACTTGATCGAAAAGACTTTAGAATGTTAACCTAATAGCTTGTTAGTTAACAAGCTATTAGGTTAACATTTCGAGCTGGTCAAAACAGTGCTAGCCAATGCGTTTGCGGTTAAGTTTCTTTGTGTTTCTTCTTTTCATTAGATGTATTAGCTATCTGGAATGAGAGCTGGAATGAGAAAATGCCCAAAAAAAAAAGAAAAAAGGGCTTAAAGAGGTTAATTGAGCTTTTCTCGACACCAATTCTGTTTTAAGTGATCCTAAAGTATGCAGAATGTAGATAATTTTATTCTGCATCCAATAAGAATAAGAAACATAAAGAAACTTAACCGCGGGGGGATATTTTTGCCGTGGCGCTGACCAGCTCCCCATTTGGCAGCTTGATAAAAAATTTTTCGGCTAGTCGGCTCTGGTTTATGATAGTTAGTCGTTGTTTAGATTTCGCGAGCAACTAAGTATAAAAGGAGTGCATTTTTCTTTGTTTCTAGAGCTTTCTTGTAGATTTTTAACTGTTTCAACCGTTTCTAATCAACAACTTGCATCTTATCAAAGGCTAGAGAGGTACGATAATGTATTTTGCTTTAAAATCTTCAATACAGAAAGATTTTTCAAATTTTATAGGCTCTAAAACTTTGAAGCAATGCTTTTCACTAACTTTAGCTTGAAATTAGATATTTCTAGGTCAAATCTAAGTCCAGAGCTTTTAGAACTAAAAAATGAAGTTGGAAAAAGCTTTGCGCCAAATAAACGTCAAAAATTTTCAATTAAAACATATTTACGCATTAAAAACATCGCATTAATGTGAAATTTTGCGGCTAAAAGCCTAAAATTATCAGTTAAGAATTTGAAAAAATTCGAATAGAAGAAAATTTTCGAAGAAAATATCACCGGGTGTGTTAACGGCCAATAAACGCCAGAATCGCCCCGAAAGCGGAGAGGAGGCGCGCGGCGGGGAGTACGGTAGAAAGGACACGCTTTATTGCGAAAAGCGTTTCGACGTTTCGACGACGTTTCAAAAAGCGATTAGAAAAACGTACTTGAAGAATTTGATGAAATCACAAGCTCTCGACAATGAATTGTTTTAAAGGGTATTTTAATCGCGGCCGGGTGACCATAAAAATTTTTTTTTTTACGGCAACCACCTGTTTTTTTATTTTAATATCGTTGATTTTATTATAAAAAGAATAAAAATCATGCGGCTAGAGTGATTTGATGGGTTTACGAATTTTTGGAGACGCTGCAAAACTTGAAAAAAACAAGATCGTCACTCATCAGACACCTCAGCACAGTCTAGATCGATTGCGTTTTAGTTGCAGATAAATTTAAAAACAAAATAAAAAGCACAAAAAACATTAAAAATAAGTTGTTAATCCATAATTATTCCTCTTGCTCACTTGCATTTTCGCTCAAGTACAGCAGTTTCTCAAATCGTCTGCCTATCTTAGTCAATTTCCAGCGCATCCTCAGCAGGAATGACTGGATCTCCTCCATCTTCAGCGCTTCGATTGACGCAATTAGATCTTTTTTTTTTCCATTCGATTGTGGTTTTCTTTTGTTTCGTAACATAAGTTTTTTTTGGCTTTCGAAAAAAGAAGAGTACTTAGAAGACCATAAGCTAGATTAGCTTAATGATCTTTTGCATTATCTAAAAATAAAATCTCCATCTTGAAAAAGGCATCTAGAGATGTTAAAAAGCAAAAGTGTAGATCGAAAGTCTAAAGAAAACAAAAAGAAAACATAATGCCTGACTACTTTCGCACTTACCTTTTAGATGAACTACGCGAGCTTTGCAGTGTCTCCAAAAATTTGTAAACCCATCAAATCACTCTAGCCGGGTGATTTTTATTCTTTTTATAATAAAATCAACGATATTAAAATGAAAAAAAAAACAGGTGGTTGCTGTAAAAATTTTTTTATGGTCACCCGGCCGCGATTAATACTCTCCCCCCCTTTAACACAATCTGTTTTTCGAGGGCTATTTTCCTTAAAACGTGTCAATTTTTAGAAAGAAAAAAGCTATTTTTTTTCTTTCGTAATTGCACCAAACATCTAAAACATGTGAAAACATCAAAAAATTTAACACTTACAGCCTTATAGAATAAAATCAAACTCGCAAACTTTTCTAATCTAGTTCTAAAGCGTGCCAGTGCAAAGCAAAGCAATGCTAGGGTTTGTTCATCTCTGAAAAATAATTCTTTTTATCTTATTCTTATGAGAACCTATTGATGTGGGGTCGGAAAATGTAGCTGACGATGAGATCTTGTGGAGGATTTAAGTGTTGAGCTTCTGCTTCTGGCTTCTGCGAAAGTCTGGAAAATTTCGGCAACGCTCAGAGTGCACTAATTTTGGAGTACATTTCATAACCTAGCAGCATTTCATAACCAACTTCATTTCATAACATTTCATAACATTTCATAACCTAACGGGAAATGATAAAGAAGCGTAAAATAGTCATCAACTCGACTCGCCGAAGTGCACTACTATTAGACGTACTTTTTCAAAATCTAACCCAATGTCAGAGTCTAGAAGTGGTTCATTCCTTTTTGCAGATTCCCTTTAGCGCTTCTTTATCAAATTTTCCGTTAGAGCTGATAGGTTATGAAATGTACTCCAAAATTAGTGCCCTCTGAGCGTTGCAGCTCTAACTTATTTCAAACTTAGAGCCGCTAGGTTATGAAAGCGTTAGAGATTACGAAACTTGCTCAAATTACATACAAGAAATTCAGTCGCTTTCCATTCTTGAAGAAAAAAATAGAGACTCTAGATCTCTCTCTCTCGTAGGTAATCTGATTATTTTCATTTCCATTCGATCTTTTATCTTCGTATCTTTCTTTTCTCTCTATATTTATGATCTGTGCATTTCTCTATGATTTCTCGATTTATTGAATTTCACTTTATCATCTGAATAAAAGTATGATCATTTTACGTTTTCAAATGAAAAATTCAAATGAAATGAATGAAATGAATGAACTCTTTGAAATCAAATTGAATGAATTGTCCGTAGGAATGAAAAAGAAATAAAAATTAATCAATTTCGATCACTTGAAGTCAATTAAAATATCAAAATTCCCTGAAAATATTGCCAAAACGATCGATTCGCAAAAATGAGCAAAAATCCAGAAGAAGTCCACACACCATTTGCGCAATCGCTGAAAAAGCCCCACCGCAACCCGGTACCGCAAAACCGCTGTAGAGGAAGCGGACGCCATCTGAAAAAAAGAAAGTGACAACAGTGATAAGTTGCAAGATACGAGTTAGCGATCGACACATTAACGCTCAAATTTGAAGCTCAAAGCCCAACCAACGCAAACGTTTTAACCATTAAATCCTTTTAAAAACGCCATTGTCCTTTAAAATGGACTCAAATAACATTAATGCTTTTTCATTTAAACATTTGCGCCTTTTAACGATTTTGATAGTATAAAAATTAATCAATTTCGACCATTTGAAGCCAATTAAAAGATCAAAATTGCCTGGAAATCGATGAAAATTCCCTGAAAATATTGCCAAAACGATTGATTCGCAAAAATGACAGCCACTGGCATCTCTCTAGCATATAAAAGCAAGACGAAACTTCGGGAAATCAAATTTCATTTCTCCCCCCCCAAATGCCTTCTTTTTGTTCGATCATCGAATATCTATTCGGAAAGATTGGTTTCCCGTGGTCGAGCAAAATCGAGACGTTCAAATGCTTCAATTGCTCGTCGTGCAATAAACCGTGTAAGGGTTTTAAAGTGTTTTAAAAAAATCGATTAGATAACTCGATTCCTTTGTAAACTTTAGATATATTCTTATGATTAAATAACTACCGTAAATACCGTAATAGTACCCCAGCCCCCATAATGACGGTGCGGAGTGTTGCGTCGTCTAGCTTTGAACGAGTTTTTCCCGACACTCGTTTATGCTATAGTATTTACGATGGGTTCATTAATATTTAAGCTTTTAATCTTTAGCATCTTTTATTCTTTAAACTTAGCCAATACCTAGCGGTGGCTAGATTTAAAGTTTATTAAATTTTTTGTTGAAATTTAAAAATCTGAATCCTAAAAATTCTAGTGTGATATCCAGATAGAAGAAAAAATGCAATTAAATTAAAATAGCCCTTTTTAATTTCTTGGAATCATCCCGAACTCTTAACACTGCACATCCAGTACAAATTTTTTGTTGAAAATCAAAAATCCGAATCCTAAAAATTCTAGTGTGATATCCAGATAGAAGAAAAAATGCAATTAAAATAAGATTGCGCTAGTCAATTTTTGGGAATCATCGCGAACTCTCGGCAGTGCATATCGAGTACAAATTTTTTGTGGAAATTTTAAAATCTGAATCCTAAAAATTCTAGAGTGATATCCAGATAGAAGAAAAAGCGCAATTAAAATCAAATAGCTTTTGTCAATTTCTTGAAATCATCCCGAACTCTTAACACTGCACATCCAGTACAAATTTTTTGTTGAAAATCAAAAATCTGAATCCTAAAAATTCTAGTGTGATATCCAGATCGAAGAAAAAAAATGCAATTAAAATAAGATAGCTCTTGTCAATTTCTTGGAATCATCGCGAACTCGATGCAGAACTAAGATCAAGATGTACCTCGGTTCAGATGAACTTCGGTAGACGACCGTTGTTCGCGCGAAAATCGGAGAGCCCTCGATGAATGCTTTTTATCTGAAATATCTTTTTATCATTAAGAAATTGTTTTGCTAAAGTCTATGCTCAAGTTTTGTAATAAGTTACTACTTAGGTATCAAAAAAAAAATGAAATACTAGAAAACTAGAAAACTAGAAAACTTTTGCGACTACGCGACTGTACGAGGGCGGTGGGGTACTGTTACAGTATTTACGGTAGCTAAATATCTATCTAGATCTATCTAGCTAAATATCTATTTTATCTCCAAAATACTTGAATTTTTTCAATCCTAACTAGCAAACTGATTTCTATATTTCTTAAATGACTTTTTAGACAGAAAAAGTTACCGTAATCTGTCTGTCTGAGTCTGTGTCTGAGTCAATGTCTGAGTATTTGGGATTACGGTAGTTTCCACTCTGAGAAAATCTAAGGGTTTCATTTTTATTTTGAGCTCATTTTGCTCTTCGAGCTTATTATAACACCGGCACACCACCCGCGAGCGGTTGCCCCTGTGGTCTAGTGGTTAGGCTGCTTGACTACGAAACCGGTCACAGCTTTTTTGTCCGCGAGTTCGAATCCTTCTCTCGCCAGAAGGACTTTTTAAATTTTTCCTTTTTAAATCCTTTTCCGATATTGAATTATTCATTTGCCAAATGATTTTTAAGTGAAAAGACAAGAATTTTAAAGCGAAAATCGAAAATTCATAGATTTCAGTCATTTCAGTCATTTCAGTCACTGCAAGCAACACAGCTCCATCTTCACCAATCGCTTTGCTTTGCGGTAGTGCTGTGAGTGATTTCTAGCTTTAAGAGCTTAGCTTTAAGAGCTTAGCCTTAAGAGCTTAGCCTTAAGAGCTTAGCTTTAAGAGCTTAGCCTTAAGAGCTTAGCCTTAAGAGCTTAGCTTTAAGAGCTTAGCCTTAAGAACTTAGCTTTAAGAACTTAGCTTTAAGAGCTTAGCTTTAAGAACTCAACTCTCAAGAACTCAAGTCTCAAGAACAGAAATCCTCCCAAATTTCGAAAGGAATCTAGATTCAGCTTTCAGATTTGCAAGCAATGCTTCGAATGTGATGCGCTTTTGTCGACGGAAAAACGCATTCATCGGTGCGGCCGTGAGCATTGCCCGGAAACCATCATTCCCGCCTTTTATCTCATCAGTGAGTTTGTTAAAGTTGAAATTTAACTTCAAACGATACTCTACAATAAAATAACTGTTCAATGAAGTGTATCCAAAGAATTGAACCGATTTTTTAGCTTTTGACAGGCTACTTTTGCACAACAAGTACACGATAAGGCAAAAAATGTTTTTTTGTTGAAAATTAAAAATCTGAATCCTAAAAATTCTAGAGTGACATCCAGATAGAAGAAAAAGCGCAATTAAAATAAGATTGCGCTAGTCAATTTTTGGGAATCATCGCGAACTCTTTCGCAGTGCACATCCAGTACAAATTTTTTGTTGAAATTTTAAAATCCAAATCTTAAAAATTCTAGTGTGATATCCAGATCGAAGAAAAAGCGCAATTAAATTAAAATAGCTCTTGTCAGTTTTTGGGAATCATCGCGAACTCTCGGCAGTGCACGTCAAGTTCAAATTTTTTGTTGAAAATCAAAAATCTGAATCCTAAAAATTGTAGAGTGATATCCAGATCGAAGAAAAAATACAATTAAATTAAAGTAGCTCTTTTCAATTTCTTGGAATTATCGCGAACTCTTGGCCGTGCCCATCCAGTACAAATTTTTTGTTGAAATTTTAAAATCTAAATCCTAAAAATTGTAGAGTGATATCCAGATAGAAGAAAAAATGCAATTAAAATAAAGCAGCTCTTTTCAATTTCTTGGAATCATCGCGAACTCGGTGCAGAACTAAGATCAAGATGTACGATAGCTAAATAAAAGGCTTAAAAGCACAGTTTTTTTCAGATCTCCTTACCGAAGCTTCTCTGATCCTCAAATCCGACAAGAGTGGCTATGTTTTAGTTGAGGTTTTTGGTCAAATAAAAGCCCTTTCATGTAAATTTTTGCAGGATTTCATTGCCGAGTGTCCGATTTGCATTAGAAAATGTGAGTTTTACGGTATTGTGTACGGGTGTACTTTTTGGTGTACGGGTGTACTTTGTTTTGTCAAAGCTGTCAAAGCTGTAAACACAGCCTTTCTGGCTCGATTTCCCATTTCATTTCAAGCCAGAAAAGGCGCGTTTACCATTTTTGAAGAGCACAAAGTACGCACTGAGAAAGAAAGCGTGAACTAGCGTGAAACGCTCGCTTTCTGGCATACAAAGGCTTTTTCTATGTAGCTTTTGATCCTTTTTTTTTGAATTTGGATCGATTTGGGTGATCAAAACCAACCAAAACCAAAAAATTGCTTTTCAATCAGAAATCGATCGACTTTCTTTACAGAATAACGTTTAACTTTATCAAACTAACAAGAGAAAGATCATTGGGTCCCGTAGCCTTTTCCGATCATATATATGTTACGTTTGAATCCGACCAGGCGTTCGGATCTGATCCAGACGTCTGAAACAGATTAGAATGAGTGTGGCCGGATTACGACGTCCGAAACCGACCACAAGATAATGAATGGCCATCCGGATCGGATTCGGATGGCCATTCATTATCTTTGGTCGGTTTCGGACGTCGTAATCCGACCACAAGATAATCAATGACCGGATTCGGACGTCTGTATCGGATTCGGATGTCCGTATCGGATACAGACGTCCGAATCGGATTCGGGCGTCCTAATCCGACCACAAGATAATCAATGACCGGATTCGGACGTCTGTATCGGATTCGGATGTCCGTATCGGATACAGACGTCCGAATCGGATTCGGGCGTCCTAATCCGACCACAAGATAATCAATGACCGGATTCGGACGTCTGTATCGGATTCGGATGTCCGTATCGGATACAGACGTCCGAATCGGATTCGGGCGTCCTAATCCGACCACAAGATAATCAATGACCGGATTCGGACGTCTGTATCGGATTCGGATGTCCGTATCGGATACAGACGTCCGAATCGGATTCGGGCGTCCTAATCCGACCACAAGATAATCAATGACCGGATTCGGACGTCCGGATCTGATACAGACGTCCGTATCGGATTCAGATGTCCGTATCGGATACAGACGTCCGAAACCGACCACAAGATAGTCAATGGCCATCCGAATCCGATCCGGATGGCCATTCATCATCTTTTGGTCGGTATCGGACATCCTAATCCGACCACAAGATAATCAATGACCGGATTCAGACGCCCGGATCGGATTCCGAAACCTCCGACACTCATTCTCGTCTGATTCAGACGTCCGGATCAGATCCGAACGCCTAGTTGGATTCGAAACAGCTACACCATTCGACGCAGAATTTTCCGCTGATTCGAATGATGTAAAAATTAACTGCCAAAACGGTGCGTAATGTTTAACTTGTATCGAAGAAGTTTTGAGCCTCTCCTTTTAAGGCGATTTTTTTCAATTCAAACTGTTCATGAGTGGTTTAGAAGAGTGGTTTGTACAGAAAAAGTTTGGGGTCGAGACTCGATCCGATCGAGACATCCGATCGAGACAAACCCGATCCGTCTCATTTTTTTTTCCCTTTTTTTTCCTTTCTACGTTCTTCTGTTTTCTTTTTGCGTCCACATAAACGATTTTTTTTTTCTTTTCGATTTTAAAAGTAACAAGTCAAAAATGAAATCTCGCGCAAGCAAATTTCGTCATTGAAAGCAAGACATTGAAAAGCAATTCTGTATCCATTGAAAACTCTGTAAGACATTGAAAAGCAACTCTGTATCCATTGAAAACTCTGTATCCATTGAAAACTCTGTATACAATCACTTTGTATCCATTGAAAAGCAATTAAACGTTTAACAAGAATGATAAACGATAATCGAATCGCAATCGATCGCAAAAAAAAAAAAAAAAAAACGTTTCTGTGGACTCATAAAAGAACACAAAAGAACGTAGAATCAAAAAAAAAAAGGAAAGAAAGAAAAAAGTGAGACGGATCGGGTCTTTTGAAGTCTCGACCCCAAGCTTTCTGTACGAGCACTCAGCCACTGATCAGCACTCAGCACTCAGCCACTCAACCACAGTTTGGGTCGAAAAAAAAATCGGGTTAACAGGAGGGGCTCAAAATTTCTCAAAACAAAACAAAACAAGTTAAACATTACGCACCTTTTTTTGGCAGCTCATTTCTACCTCATTGAAATGAGCGTAAAACACAGCGTTGGATTTATATCATTTGAAAAGGCCACGAGACTCAAAGAATTTTTCCCTTCAATTTTCAATCATTCTACCACTTCTAGACTTTAAAATAATGATATTAACATGAAAAAAAAAAAGCTTTACAATTTTGCAGAAAGCAAAGTCGTAAAGCTAAACGAAGTGCTCGTAGATAAAGCTAGACTAAGTGCTCGTAGGTAAAGCTAAGCTAAGTCCTCGTAGATAAAGCTAAGCTAAGTGCTCGTATTTCATTTCTGAATTTCAACAAATCTCCCAGTAAACACGTCGATCCCTTTACTCTCGCCAATGGATCTCCTCTGCGGTCATGCGATTTGTTTGGAGTGCTCGCAGAAGTTACGTATCATTTTCCCATTCGACGACGACGAGTGGCCAAGCGTTTACCAATTGAGATGCCCGATATGCAGAGCGGAGAATCAATATAATGAGGAGAGATTCTACGCGAACGCTTTCCTCGGTGAGTTCATCGAGTTTCCGACGATTGAACATCGAGAATCGAACTTTAAACTCAAATACCTTTGTAGAATTGCTTTCCTTAGAATACCTTGTAGTTTTTCATTTCAAATCAAAATTAGAAAACTCAAAATTGAAGCAATTGAGGGCAGTAAGGGGGTTCGAACCCGGGTCACGTGGCTTGTAGACGGGGGGGCTACCGACTGCGCCATGACGACAGATAAAACTTGGACAGAAAAACTCGCCCTTAAGCTGTTAAGCGAGTTTTTCAGCTGGTAGTTCCATTTTCGGCAAGATAAACGAAGTTGGAATTCGAGTTAAGCCCCTCTGGCGTGAGGGAGTATCAGGTTCAGCGTGGTGTAATGGCTAGCAGAGTTGCTCGGTAAGCGAGAGGTCGGGGGTTCGAATCCCGGGCGCGCATAAATCTTTGAACTCTTCAATTAGCCGATCTTTAGCGGGGGGTATAGGGCTATCGTAATCCCTTATTTTTCCCATTTTTTCTATTGAAAACTACAGAAATTTGGGAGATTAGGCAAATTTAAAGCCAATCAATCCAAGCAAATCAATTAAAGGCCAAGCTAAAGCGCATTAAACCCGAAACAATCCATGCCAATCAATCCTACAGCTAAGCTACAGTGCATTAAAGTCGAAAAAAAGTTATGTTGCTAAGGTAGCTAAGACTTTAAATGTATCTAAATCCATTTCTCTTTCAGATTTCCTCAACGAGCTGCCGAGAATGGAGGCACAGTTGAAAGTGGTTAAATGGGTGAAACGTCGAGATTCTTTGCTCAATTTCTTTAAACTCCGTCATTTCTCGATTTTAAGTTCAAAATAATCGGCATTTTAGTGTTTTCATTCATTTTTTTTCCCAGTACAAATCGATTTTTCTGCAAAAAAAACAAAGTTTTTTATTGAATTCTTAAAATTGTTTTATTTTCTTATATTTTCCATGAAAATTCCTCATTTTCCCATCTCGATAAACGTCTTTTGTCAATATTTTTCATATTTTTGTTGATTAAATCGAGAATTAATCAGTTTTTTACGAGAAAGAGATGAAATTAAAGGAATTTTCCTTTGACCTCCAAGTGAGACTGCCGAACCCCGGTCAATGGTGGAGGCTGGCTTGGGATTGATCTGGTCCAGGTTTGACTCAAAGAGTACCAACTGCTGGATGCGTGAAAGGGATCGCCGCTTGTGGTTCTGTCATAAGCAACGGAGGCAGTGCTTCATCGCGATGTAGAAGCAGATTTGAAAGTTTCCAAAACCTCCAAAAAACATAAAAAACCCCAATCGCCGCTGTTTTTCACTAATTTCGCAGAGGTTCGAAGTCAAAATTTACTAATTTCTGGCGCACTCGGATCACTTTTGCGAAGATTTCAGTTAATGACAAATTTACTTACATCTACCAAATCAAAATACGTCATTTGAGTGCGTCTACCCATTCATAAAGCACAGAGTACAGAAAATGATCAACTCGAGAAGTAAACCATTTTTGCACTCAAAGCTGAGATTTCTGCGCTGTTCCAGCTGGAACAATGACCATTTCATTAGCATACATTTTCATACAAATTTTGTCAACTTTCCGCATAAAATTTCAAACTAGTTTTGCTTCTTTTGGAAAATCTGCATCAAATTCATTTCTCACCATTTGCCAAAGAAAACACATGAAATTGTAAATTCAAAAACTAGCAGTTTACAAGAGTGATACCAAAGTCATAGATTATATATTATAATAAAAGATGATCTTTTAAGCAAAAAGGAACCCGTTTTATGAGGAGATTACGAGTTACCCGATCAAAAACAAATCATAATATTCTAACCATAAGAAAAATTCGACTCTAAACACACGAGTCACAAAGATTAATGTGAAGAAACCAGAGCTTAATAACTAGCGGAAGCAAGATATTCACAACAAAGATACAATTGTAAAGTGGACTGACCTAGATAAGTCTCACTTTGTTGCAGGGTACATCTTCGTAATTGGGAGACAACGTCAAGTCTCCTCGGTCTCCTCGCAGATATCGAATAGTTGAGGCGATGGTGGACGAGAGACCATTCCGATGGGTCGTTTCTTCGATGATTTTCGCACCGATAGAATCATCTCATTCAGCGGGCTCATCAAATGTCGTAACAGTTTCATCTCGATCTCGGCGATTTCTTTGGTTCGCGATCGCATCCTTTCAGTCGTTGATTTCCTCCTGTGATACAGAGTGTTTCGCTTGCTTGTTGCGCACTTTTGCCGCTCATCGTCTACAAATCCCATCAAGCAGAACAGGGTAATCCAGAAGAAGTCCACACACCATTTGCGCAATCGCTGAAAAAGCCCCACCGCAACCCGGTACCGCAAAACCGCTGTAGAGGAAGCGGACGCCATCTGAAAAAAGAAAGTGACAACAGTGATAAGTTGCAAGATACGAGTTAGCGATCGACACATTAACGCTCAAATTTGAAGCTCAAAGCCCAACCAACGCAAACGTTTTAACCATTAAATCCTTTTAAAAACGCCATTGTCCTTTAAAATGGACTCAAATAACATCAATGCTTTTTCATTTAAACATTTGCGCCTTTTAACGATTTTGATAGAAAACATTTATTGAAAACAATGCAATACTTGACTTGAGAAACATTCCATTCTTTAAAAACAATAAATTCAAACGCAAAAATAATAATAATAACGCCAATCTATACAAAACCAAACACTTTAATTTGGATGGCATGGCGTAGTTTGAGGTACATAGTGTTTTTCGACGTGTAGTGCGGCATGTAGAGACGAGAGACACAAGTGTTCGCAGAGGGTAAGTGATCATTCGACAAGTTTCTAAATCAAAATATGATATAGTTGTACTTTTTAGTAGTGGCTCTTACTTGATCACAATCGTCGGTCGTGCCACAAACATTTCGTCCAGTGCCGGAAGCGTCGCAGAGCCCGTCCAGAAGTAAATCAAGTCCTGAACATAACATTCATTTTCCCATCACCTCACAAAGGTACCTGTTTCTCTTTGTCGCTGAATCGATCCACGATTTCCCAAAACCAGCGTTCCAACTTTTTGAGATCCGATTGCGAGATTTGGCACTCTTCTTGGAAAGTCGTTAACTTTTTGAGGCGATCGATGGGAATCTAAATTTGAACTTGAAAAATAATACTGAAGCGAGATTACTTCAGCAACTCCATTGACAAGTAAGGCCAAATCTTCAGCAGTCAAATGGGCCAAAAATCCAGCTGGAACCACGTCTTGAATGCCTTGCGCAAATAACTGTAATAGGGTAAATTGACAAATAAAAGATACAAACCGCATAGCATTGCTGCAGTTCTGGCCGGCCAAGTCTGCATTTCACCAGCTGGTAAACGTATTGGGGAAGATTTGAGCTCGTCACACGCATTTCTTTTCCTCCCGGGCACAATTCGACTTCTCGGGGTGTCTAATTAGCAAGATCAAGAACTTTTTTTTCCACAAAGCTCACCTTTCCATCGGTTTCTTCTTTTGGCAACATACACGTGAAGTACAGTTCCAAATCATTTAATTTTTTTGTGAGGGCCTTCTCGTCTTTCTTCTCCATGATAAGTTCCCGAAGTCTCATATAAAGCTGAAATCAAAAACTTTTTGACTCGGAAATAGCTGCCCTTACTTCGTGATCCACGAAAGCCAAATCGTGGAAAGAAAGCAAAAAACTGGTTTCGGCGGCGATTGCTCTCCATAAATGGCGAGGCAAAGAGAGTGGTAGAACTTGTTTTTGGACAAGAGCCAAGCCAAAGACCCTGAATTCAAGTTATTGAAATCTGCGCTTGAATTACCAACCTTCCAACATTGCGGAAATTGCTCAAGCGTTTGGGAGTTCCGTTGCCCGGGCACATAGAGAAGACTTTTTGGCCAGTCGACATCTGAATGAAAAGATTGGAAAAAAATTAAGGCCAGGCTAACTTGGTAAAACAAAGGAGCGTTGTCATCAATCTTGGGCTCAGTCAAGTCATCTTGTTTTTCTTGAAGAGAGGTTCCTTGTGGCAATTTCCGTAAGGTCATCAGGGCCTCCGCATATGATGAAAAAGAATGCTCGGACCACGCCACTTCCTAAAGATAACAAATTTAGGTCCACCACCAACTGCTGACCTTCGCCTGGCTCGTTTTCGTAGCTGACTTTCATCTAAATATTAGAGCATATAATTAGATATACAATCAAGTCTTCACCTCGGATGCAAATAGTACTGGCCCAGGCGGCACTCTTGGACTCAGACGTTTCAAGAATTGAGCATCCAATTGAGAGGCCGTATCCCTGATCAACTTCTCGGCATTGTGTGACAAATTCTACAGAACAAGTGATTTAATAACCATTGACAAGAAGTCACCTCCAAAGTAATCTTTTTGCTCGGATTTTGGCCACTGTATTCAAAAATCTTTTGGTTGAAGTAATGCGCCCTCACATTGTAGCTGGCATGTCCGATGATCAACAAAGACTTCTTGACCTAAAACGAAATTCTTAAAATTGACCACTCTAAACAAACCTCGCGGCCGCACACAGTAAAGATCTCCGCATGGAAGTTTTTCGCCAAACATTCTAATGCATTTGACCACCTTGACTCTGCGCGAACCTAAAATAATTGCGCTAAAATAAAATAAAAACCTAAAAATGATTGTTGCGTATAACCAATTCAAAACCCACTTCAAGCAACTGAAGAGTGGAGTCTTTCTCGAATGGAGCAGCAACGCGTTGGTTTTCTTCCGGAGTGGTCCTGCTAGTGGCATTCAGTTCGAGGTCCAGTTGTTTCTCATAAAGTTGGTCCCAATTCTCCAATGACATCTTTGCGCTTTGATGATTGAAGTAATCGAGTCTGGCGGAAGTCGGCTGAAGGAGTAGAGGCGAAGTTGCCAATTTCAGCGGATCATCAAAAATGGAGCTTTTCTCACTCAAAATAACACCAGGATAGCTGAAGTTGAGGCCTCTCTGAATGAAATAATGCAATAAAATAAAGTATCATTCAAACCTCAAAAAAGGAACCAATAGTTGGCTGTTGCGTGACTTTCCTTGAACGAACAGTGTCGAGCACCCGGCACCGTAGTAAAAACACATCTGTCAGTAGAGCCAATGGTCTGAGGAGGCCAGCGTTCAAAATTGGTGGATGATCGCCGAACTCTCCGTCGGATGAGCGCATCAGATCGATCAAAAGCTCAGATGACGACATTGTCGGCACCTCACTCAACTCCTTCAGCACATTCCTAGAATATCACTCATGTGCGAAAAGATTTGAGCGCTCACCCCGCCTCAAGTTTCACGTCAATTTGTCGAGACTTCGAGAGTGTGATTTTCTGTTCAGTCGTATCAAGCGCTGCAGCAAGCCATTTCCACGCTGGACCCAGAGACGCTTCGATAAGTTTCTAACTACATGTTGATATATGAATTCGTAAATAAAGCTCACCAAGCCATCAGGGCCACCGTCGTTTTTCCAGTTCTCAAGTTCAATCTCCAAAGCAAGTCGTGCCATAATATAGAAAGACGAGCACAAATGACGGATGCTGTCACCATTCTAAATTTAGATTATGTGTTTACAAGATAGATAGAAAACGTACCATGTGATGATCATTAACGGTAGACTTGTCCCCTGCTTCACCCAATGTCACATTCCCTGATGCTTAAATAATTCATAGTAGCATCTAACTCCAGAAACTTACCGGTTAATGGTTGGCCCACATTCTCGGTGGCAAATATCATGACTGCTTCTTGTGGCGATCGATTTGGTGGCTGGCGACTGGCAGTTTCCTAGAATTGTTGGTAGTGAAAAATAAGTAGAATGAATTTACCACTGAATCCCTACGTGGTAGAGTTGTCATAACTTCCGAAGAAGAATCGGCAGCGGATTCTTGAGCAGCAGCATATCCTTCAGGTACGACATCGACTAAAATAATTTAGTAACAGTAGTACCAAAGTAAAATTCTACCTCTCTCGTGATTCGCGGAAGTTTCACCAGCTTCTTGTCTTTCCTGTCTACGACTATGGTTGCGATTCTCGTGACGTCGGTTTCGGCCTTCTGCCCGAGCGTTCAGTAGTCTTTCAAAGGCAAGAATCTGCATACGTTCCTAAACATATAAACATACATAAAACAAATTAAATCTACCAGGTTTTCGTCTCCGTGCTCCATGTCTTGCCCGTTCTCTTCCTGATTCTCCTCCTCATCATAATGATCCTCGTCCTAAATCATTAGATTTAAATTCGAGGCAAAAAGAAAGTTTACCTCCGAAGCCTCATCGCTGAAAAAGGAAGCAGCGCTTTCATCTCCATCCGAGACTTGATCTAAACAATTAAAAACTTTTTAATTTAAGAACTAGACCCTCACCTTCGCGCTCTTCTTCTTCGTTCATCGAAAAAGTGCTTGACGAGACAAGCGAATTGTGATCGCTGTCCATTTCATCGCCAGTCTGCTTGTCTTCTTCTTCATCACCATGTGGCCGCGCCTTGGCAGCTGGCTTTCGCATCAGTGTTTTCTCAATCGTCTAAACATTTCCCCTTTCTGAAAATTTTCTAGCCAAGTTACCGCAAAAATCTCGCTATCCGCGATTTTCGTGTTGATCGGCATGATGGCAGCAGCTCTTCCCACAACGACCGGATGAATCAGTCCGTTCGCCATACGTGCAGCTTCCAAACTCGTGTATGGGCGAAAAGCTTTCAAAACATCATGGCATCTGTTCATCACGTAAATGATCCTAAAACAATAAGGTGACAATTTTGTTCAAATATTTGTTACTTGTCTGGCTTCGGATCATCGGATTTACTTCCACCAGTAAGCAAGCGGCGAAGGTTAAAGATTCCGATCCCGAGTTGGTCATCTTTGTCAATAGTAACCGGAAACTAAAAAAAATCATAAGGATATAGCCATCAAACACACTTTAGTGAAGATTCCATTTGTTGCCACCATAGACGCCGTGGTTGACAATGAGCAAAGAAGAGCATAAATTCGCAGAATGGCTCGGATAATTCGACCGACGATTGGGCCCGCAGCGTCCTGTCTTCTTTTCATCCCTTTTTGCAAAAGCTCCACCAAACAAGCCAAATTAGTAGAAGGACATCTAAATAAAAATTATACAATGAATTTTCAAAACACAATACTTCGTCAGCAAAAGAAACAGCGTCACGTCGAGTTGCTCGCTCTTGAAGCGCTGGCGCCACTCTTCTTTTCCCACGTTATCCAATTCGTTAGGGTTCAAGTCATTGTTGGTCACCTAAAGTAGTGCAAAAGTGCGATTAAAATTTATAAAACCTCCATCACGAATTGCTGAAGAACTTTTGAGTTTCCCAAACAAACACTCAAAGCCTTTGTGGCAAAATCTGGTGGATCCAAACATTGTTCGGGTGTATTTGGTGGAGCTTCTAAAAAAGCTAACGATAATATCAAACTTTTCATATTACCTTCGCGAGGATGTCTATGCGACTTCCTCCGATAGGCCGATTGTTCAACATTCTGTCGAGCCACAGTTTGAGCCAAAAAGTAGATGATATGTTGGGACTTCTCATTTGGACAACAATGGTAGTCGGTCTTCGCAATAATTTCTTTGAACAACCACATCCGTGCTTCCAAGTTTCCAGAAACCTAATAAAGCTTTTTTTTATTATTTTTCAAAGGATCAAACCAACCAAAGCCTTGCACGCGCATTTTTCCCAGCAATCACAGTAGGCAGCTGAGCTTGTTTCTTTGAGGGAGCTAAAAAAGTCACATTGCGCCGATCACAGAAACAACCAGATATTTTACCCACATTGAGTGTCCTTTATGGCAGGTCAAGATACATTCCGCGCAACAACAGCTCGAACCGGTCAAGTTGCAAGTGCGGCATTCGTAAACATCCTAAGGCAGAACATAAAGAATAACAAAACTCGACTAACCATCTTCACACGTGTCTGTCCGGTCCAAGTATATGAGCAAGTGTCAGCAATAGCCAAAGCAAACAAAGCCCAGCTCTTGGTGTGATCGGTCGATGATGCCCAATCCGGTGGTGGAGCAAGAAGGATATTGATATCGACCTTTCTTCGAAGACTTGTTTCCCAGATGACCTTGGCGGCTGAGTAAGCTCTTTGTTGAATGGCGCAACCAAATGGATTCAGACCATTGCAATCCTATAAATACAACTGAATTTTAATAAAAGAGATGTTTTTACTTTTTGCTTCAAAATGTTGACGAAGAAGTGTTTGTTGACAAAAGGCGCATCAACCAGTAGCGCGACGATTTCCATGGCATCTTTCTGTCGCTGCTTCAACTTGCTCATTGGCTCATTCGAAGATGGTGACATGGCTAAAATCTCGAAATAGGCAATGTAATTAATTCACAATCGTTACCGGGTACTTCGGGCTCACGAAGAGCAGCCACTACTTCTTGGTTAGCGCGCGAAGAACGGAGTCGAGGCAACTTTTGGTCTTCCGGTTTCTCGGTGGTAGGTCCAACTTCTAAAATAAATATTTGCCACCCATAATTTTTTACAATACTTTCTTTAGGTTTGTCTGCTTGATTCTTGTTCGAGGCTGAGCTTGCCAGGAGGACCGCGGCATGAAGCACATTCCCGCCAAGATCGTTGAAGACGAGCGTTTCTTGTTCATTCTGTGCCGTAGAAATTCCAAAAGATGCGGCTTGCTTTGCTTCAGAAACTTAAACAAGTCAGGAAAGTTGAGGCTACAAATTCAATAAACATACCATCAGCCAATCGACCCAGTTCATTCCTCACAGCTTTTACATCACAGTCCAAAACAGCTTGCAGTAGGTTGCCAGTCGTTGGTGGTGATAGACCAAAAATGATGACAGAGCCAGTGTTCCTAAAGTTAAAAAGGTTAGAAAGTCCGTTGTCTCAGCAGCTCACTTGTGATCTTTGTCGTTAGAAACGGAGTCAATCCATAGTGATTGCAAAGGACAAAGTGGTTGTTGAAACGACATCAGCTCCTTGAATCCTCCATCTCCCATTCGTTGCATTGGCAGCATCATGGAATTCGGCTTTATTTGGACAAAGAGGGCATCTTTCTAAAATTAAAATCATCAGCCGTTAGAAGGAAAGCTGCTCACTTTTGAAAAGTTCACAAATAATGGAAAATCAGGATGCTCCGTCAATGTTTCCAGTTGCTTTGAGCTGTCGTTGACCGAAAATGAGCCAAATGGCATCGGATGTTTTGAGAGCAAGCGTCCATTTAACGAGACCCGTAGAATGCTGTAGAAACCGTCTGTACAAACAAGACAACGAAGACCTAAACAATTTGCAAAGATTAGAAGAAAACTAAAACCTTTATAACCTTTTTCATCGGCGACAACACTTGACAAAACGTCATAAGCAATTGGCATTTTGAGTGAGACTCTTGTCGTTTCAATGCTTTTCGGTGAGTCGAGAAATTGTGTACAATCCCACGAAGCTTGTTTTACTTGCAGTTGAGATACTTGACGTATCCTGAAAACAAGAAAAATGAATGCTAAAACGAAAGCCGATACTGTAGCTTGCTCTCGTGAAACTTCGGGTGTGAAACAGAGATTTCGTTTCTAGGAACATCGATCCACGGAGCTTCTCGTGGGTTGACAACCACACACTGCTTTGAATCTCGGTCATGCTGAAGATTTCAATGAATTTAGTGGTTAAATTTCCACATACAATGACAACAGTCCACAGATTTACATTCGGCTGCTCGTAAATGAAGACCGCTTCGCTGATTGACCATTCTTCTTGCGGTTGCAATTCAATGTCATTCGCCTTCGTCTTCCGAGTTTCGCCAACTTTCTCTAAACCTTGACTGAATGAGTTTTACAAGTAAATAAACCAACCAGTATCCATAGGTTGCTCTTTACAAAGATCTTTAAAATCCAAATCGTACTGACTCTTGTCGACAATGCGAAACCGGCATGATTCAGTGAGCGTCCATGCTCGTTCCATTAGCACTCCAACCTATAAAAGCATTTCATGTTAAACCAAAAAAATTCCAAAGTCAACTACCTTGAGGGCCCCATCTTTTAGCATCACCGCAACACTTCCCGCTTCGTAGATTGGCGAAGCCTTCGGTGTTACTTCAGCTCCAACGCATATCTCGTTTTCGCCGCGTCCCTCTTGTTTTGCCTGTGCTTCTTTCTTTGCCAGTGCCTTTCCAAAGTTGATGATTTTCTCTGATGGAGGAATGATGCCACTAAACTTGTGGAATTTATGTGCACCTGTGATTCTAGCTAACCTCCAATGAATCCAACCACTTTGCGTAACGAATCCAGCATAAAAGATCCGTGCAGAAAAAGTGCGCGTCACCACGAGCTTTCGAGTAATCAATACTGCGTTGTTGTGGAATCACTTGCTAAAGCAAAATTTGAATAGTTTACAACCAAAATAGCCTCTCACCGATAGGGCCATTCCGACTTTGCCTGGAATGACCGTCGGGTCGACCCATGATCCAATCTCTCGAATCATTTCGCCGTTTGCTTCTAGCTTTTCGTAGAGAACTGCCACTCGAAGGTAAGATGAACACATTCTGACAATCTTTGAATCTAAAGGTCAACGTTTTTTTTGATCGCACACAAATATATACCTCCAGCCACATCGCGTGCTCGTTGGTGCAGTTGAGTGGTTCCGTTTGCATCACACCATTTCCATCCGTAAGCTTTTCCATCTGCAAGTCCAATAATTTCTGTAGCACAAGCGGTAATGTCGGTGAATCTAAAGAATAGAGGTAGAGATAAATTTACAATATCTCATACAACAGCATCTTTTCTTCTTGCGCCATCGTTTCATTTTGCCAGAATTCAACTTGATCCTTGAAGAGAAACTCCTCATACGAATCGGCGCCTTTGCTTTCTTCTAAAGTAAATGTTCAAGCAAAATTGATATCAGGCAAACTTTTTCCGTGATTCTCGCCACGCGGCACTCGTCCTTCCTCTGGCATAAAGATTGCTTCCAAATTGCGCGTGAGGTCCGAAGTAGGACCACCGTGTTGATGACGAGCCTCCAAAACAGCGATTAGCTCCTCGGGAATCAGAATTTCTCCCCTTTCGTCTAGATCATCTGAACAAAAAGGTCTTGCCTAAAATCTAGCAAACATTACCATCTTCATTATCATCATCTCGAGATAGCAGATTGTTCACAGCTTGATTCACATTCAGATTTGTTCTCTAAAGCAAAATATCTAAGTGATCTAGGAATAACGTTACTTGTAATTCTCGAACAATCACATCACGAGACTTTCCTTGGAGCACTACTTGGGCTTGAGCGACGAGATCTTCAGGAACATCAGCAGCTGGAATCATTGGGCGTCCTCTGTCCATCAGCCAAGAAGTCCTCGGTCCGCCACCACGTCTTGCAGAACTAACCATCACGCGACGATACTAAACAGCCCAAACTGCAAATAATACTGCTCAAGTGCTCTTTAAGCATGCAACGTGCAAAGAGTTATTCTAAGCACCCTGGCTGAACATTTGCCAAAAGCAAACCTTTGGATGACGAGTGGTCGATTGTTGCGGAACAGCTGGCACGACAGCAACAGCAGCTGCAGTAGCAGTAGTAGTAGTAGTAGTAGTAGTAGAAGAAGTTGATCCAACAGCACGATTTGTAACTGTATAACCAAGCCGAAACACACGACCATCCTAAAGAAAAAGTAAACCAGTCCGCGCAAGAATAAACGAACCTTCAACAGAAACACGATATGATTCGGTCCAGCGACAATCTTCTTGTAGTCATCTATGGTGAGTTGAAGAGCCTCTAGAGCCGTCACTCGTCGAGTTGTTTCTCCCATATTGCGTCGATCGGCGGTCGACTTGAATCTAAAAACAAGAAATCATAGGTCGTAATTAACGGCGGGATTCATAAACCAATCAAAATCACTTACACATCCACAATTTTCGTTTCCTTTGAGCCCAGATCATACTTAAGCGTGTAGAGCTCCGGTGCCGAGCTTGCGGCAGGAGAGCTTGTATCCATTTTCTCTTCAGTCATCTAAAAAGGTAAAATTAGAGCAGTGATATATACAAAGTTTGATTAAATTTGAAAGTCTACATAGAACTAAAGAGCTCTGGGGAAAGCGAGAAGATCAAATAAGTAAGCGGTCAATAAAATCTATCAAAATTAATAAAATTTCGTCAAAACTTGACCACTTTTACAAGATATTGCCAGCCAATTGTCAGAAAAAAGAAACGAATCCGGTAAAGCTTTGGATTCTTCTCAAAACATGTGCTAAACTTCAAGCAAAACGCGCAAAATCATTGGAACTTCATGAAAAAATGTCGGCTCAAAGTGATTTTCAGGGTTTCGCTTCAAATTTAATCGAATTGCTCAAATATCAGCCGTTTCTATAACAAAATGTGCGTGTAACGTTGGGAAAATGCGCAAGAAAAAGAACAAGTAATGGTAATGGGCAAAAAAAAATCCAACAATAAAAAGTTCTACAAATGAAACAATTTTTGGCAACAACAAAATTTTTACAACTCGAAACAAGCGCAAAATAGAATGCGTCAAATTGTCGGGATACAGTAGTCTCAAGTTAAATACTATATATAGTTCATTGTTTTGCATTCCAACTTTAACTTTAATAAAAGAATTTTGGATTTTTGCGTGAACTTTTCATAGTTTTATAATTTTCCCAATACTTTTTGATATCTTTTGCTTTACTAGTTCTAGTAAAGCTTTACTAGTAGACTTTGAATGATTGACCGAGTAGAAACTTTACTTTGCCTAGGGTACTGTACTTCACGCAAGAGCGTTTACAGAGAAAAATTTTCGGGACGCATTCTAAAATGCACTAGCTACCGTAATCCGCCTTTCTCCATTGCTTAAAGCCATTTTCCATTGCTTAAAGCCATTTTCCATTGCTTAAAGCCATTTTCCATTGCTTAAAGCCATTTTCCATTGCTTAAAGCCATTTTCCATTGCTTAAAGCCATTTTCCATTGCTTAAAGCCATTTTCCATTGCTTAAAGCCATTTTCCATTGCTTAAAGCCATTTTCCATTGCTTAAAGCCATTTTCCATTGCTTAAAGCCATTTTCCATTGCTTAAAGCCATTTTCCATTGCTTAAAGCCATTTTCCATTGCTTAAAGCCATTTTCCATTGCTTAAAGCCATTTTCCATTGCTTAAAGCCATTTTCCATTGCTTAAAGCCATTTTCCATTGCTTAAAGCCATTTTCCATTGCTTAAAGCCATTTTCCATTGCTTAAAGCCATTTTCCATTGCTTAAAGCCATTTTCCATTGCTTAAAGCCATTTTCCATTGCTTAAAGCCATTTTCCATTGCTTAAAGCCATTTTCCATTGCTTAAAAGCCATTTTCCATTGCTTAAAGCCATTTTCCATTGCTTAAAGCCATTTTCCAGTGCTTAAAGCCATTTTCCAGTGCTTAAAGCCATTTTCCAGTGCTTAAAGCCATTTTCCAGTGCTTAAAGCCATTTTCCAGTGCTTAAAGCCATTTTCCAGTGCTTAAAGCCATTTTCCGTTGCTTAAAGCCATTTTCCGTTGCTTAAAGCCATTTTCCGTTGCTTAAAGCCATTTTCCATTGCTTAAAGCCATTTTCCATTGCTTAAAGCCATTTTCCATTGCTTAAAGCCATTTTCCATTGCTTAAAGCCATTTTCCATTGCTTAAAGCCATTTTCCATTGCTTAAAGCCATTTTCCATTGCTTAAAGCCATTTTCCATTGCTTAAAGCCATTTTCCATTGCTTAAAGCCATTTTCCATTGCTTAAAGCCATTTTCCATTGCTTAAAGCCATTTTCCATTGCTTAAAGCCATTTTCCATTGCTTAAAGCCATTTTCCATTGCTTAAAGCCATTTTCCATTGCTTAAAGCCATTTTCCATTGCTTAAAGCCATTTTCCATTGCTTAAAGCCATTTTCCATTGCTTAAAGCCATTTTCCATTGCTTAAAGCCATTTTCCATTGCTTAAAGCCATTTTCCATTGCTTAAAGCCATTTTCCATTGCTTAAAGCCATTTTCCAGTGCTTAAAGCCATTTTCCAGTGCTTAAAGCCATTTTCCAGTGCTTAAAGCCATTTTCCAGTGCTTAAAGCCATTTTCCAGTGCTTAAAGCCATTTTCCGTTGCTTAAAGCCATTTTCCGTTGCTTAAAGCCATTTTCCGTTGCTTAAAGCCATTTTCCGTTGCTTAAAGCCATTTTCCGTTGCTTAAAGCCATTTTCCGTTGCTTAAAGCCATTTTCCGTTGCTTAAAGCCATTTTCCGTTGCTTAAAGCCATTTTCCATTGCTTAAAGCCATTTTCCATTGCTTAAAGCCATTTTCCAGTGCTTAAAGCCATTTTCCAGTGCTTAAAGCCATTTTTCGTTGCTTAAAGCCATTTTTCGTTGCTTAAAGCCATTTTTCGTTGTTTTGATTCATTTTTCACCGTTTTTCTTTGCCATTTCATCGCAAATTCATCAAGGATCAACTGCTATAACAGGAGTTAAGTGCTTTTGATTTTTTTCTGCAACGGTTCGCTTTGTTTTAATGACTTTTATAGAGAGATGGACGAACACAAATGTCGAATCGCCAAAACTTTTAACGGAACAACGAAAACAACAACAACAACAACGAAACAACAGCAGAAATAACAATAAAGAGGTTCGTTTAACTTTTAATAATATGTAGTAATAGAATTTTTAACGATCATATTCCTTTTTGGATGACGTCCTTTTCTAAATTTGAAGTTTTTATGACTTAGCAATAATAATCCTTACTAAATTTGTTGAGCTTGCGTTGAACAGCTCGACTTGCCATTTTACTTCCCCCGCTCGCGTGTCTAATTTTGTATTTTTTCTCAATGCAAGTCGAGCTGTTCAACGCAAGCTCAACAAATTTAGTAAGGATTATTATTGCTAAGTCATAAAAACCCCTCGAATGCGTCCCCAAAATTTTTCTCTGTAAACGCTCTTGCGTCTATACTTCTCCAAGAAGTACCTTTTGTTCATTAACTCTCAGGAAGTCGATTCTCTCTGCTAACAATGCATTTAGGTCAATTTGCCTGGATCGATTTCAAGAATGTTTTAAAATCAACTTTTTTAGACTTCTAGAGTTATTATATTTCACCAAAATGTTTGCATTTACAGGTCAACTTTGACGCAATTTTTCTCTATGTTCTTACAGGTGAGTGTACAAAACAAATTGTACTTTTCTATAGCCAAATTTGATGAAGATTCTTTTAAAACCAACCGTAAGTCGATCTGATGCTTGTGCGTCGAGATATAGACAGTTTCATCGACATGTTGAAACTCCAAAGAATCCTTGGAGTTTCAACATGTCGAAACCGAGGGTCTTTCATAAAAGTTGCCCGTAAATTGTACAAAGTGAGTCTCTTTTTGACCCAAAATTTGATAAATAAACAGAAAAATAATTCTAGTTTCCAAATTCGTATCTAATAGGGTGATAACGAGAAAGGCTTGCTAACGAGAAAGAGATATTAATTTAACGTGCCTCCCAAAACTTTCTCCGCATTCCCTATAGATTTCGAAACTAAAATTGGTTTTTCATGATTTTGCTTCTGTAATTCTGCATTTTTTTTCCGCTATAACACCCGCTAAGAATAGCCCCTGTCATAAAGTTATGACAGTGTTATAAAGAGTTATAACAGTGTTATAAGTGATGATGAAACCGAGCCCAGCTTCCTGTATTTTTTTAGAGCGCCTGTATTTCACTGTAGTTTTCCAAGGTGAACTGTAGTTCTGTTTCAATATTGAAAGTTCGATTTTTCGGTTGCGAATATGTGAAAATGCCAATCAAAAACTTTCGTAAAAACTCTTTGATCTCATGAAATGCTCAAAATTTTAGTACAATTACAGAAAAAAACATTCGAATCCTCGGAAATATTGGGCTTTCTTGAAGTTTAACTGAGTTAAAAGTTCCAAAAATGCCATAAAGTCACCAATTTTTTCTCGCAGAGTCATCAAAATTTATGCACATCACTTTCAACAACAGATTGCCGATTTGCTCTTCCCGTGATCTTTTCGCAATGAGTCAGCCGCTTATTTTCGCGTATTTTTTCGCGTATTTACTCATCTGTCTGTTTCCCCTTTTTACTTATATTTGTTCGTGCGATGGGGGTTATTTTGTGACATTCGATTGAAAAGAGAAGCTCTTTTGTGACTTTTGTCCACACTCCATCCCAGCAACGATCAGCACCAATATTTAGGGGAGGGAGTAGTGGAAAGTAGGATAAATACCCATCGAGTTTGCAGGAAGTATCAAATTTTCACTTGGACTCGAAAAGTCAGCTTGGTTAGACTATAGAGTCCGCTTGGTTAGACTTAGACAATCATTCTAAATTTCTTATTATTTGTTGGTGACCTTTAAAACTGTTATTTGTTTAGATAAAGATGAATCAGCTTGTCGTTTTGAGTTGTTTGATCGGTTTTGTGATTTGCGGGCCGGGATGGAACAAGAGTGGAATGGGTGGAATGGATGGAAAAAGAGGAAAAGGACACAAAGGTTTGGTTTTACTCTTTTAAATTATAGCAAATTATTGTTTTTTTAGGCATGTTGCCATTCCTTCAGAATGCCACCGATCAGCAGAAAAACGATTTCATGAACATCGTGCGCAATCAGACTTTAACTAAAGCCGATATCAAGACGCAAACCGAGCAATGGGCTGCCAACATTGGAGGAACCGTTCAAGTAAACTCTTTCATTTGATTAGATCTATTGATTAGACATTGATTAGACAAATGGAAGACTTTGATTTTTAAAGAATAATCTTTAGTCCTCGTTCACTGAATTCGAGGCCAACATGACCCGATGGAAGCAAGAGTCTCGCCAAAACCAGACAAACATTATCAACCAATTGCCCGCGCAACTCCAAACCCTGCAAGCAATTCAAGATGATATGTCGCTCACAAAAGCTCAAGAAAGAGACCAAATTATGGTAGAGTTATAAGGTTTATTTGTTATTGTTGATTTTCTAGCAATTCTTTGGTAACATGACTGACCGCAATTTGGCTCGAGCCGTTAAATTCATGTCAATGGTTGGAATGAGACCGATGGGACCAAGGGGATCACCAATGAAAGGCGGAAAAGGAGATATGAAATGGGGAATGATGAATAAGAGAGGACCGATGGGAATGGTTGGTTTATCATTTTCAATTCTTACAATTTACAATCAGAAGCTCTAAACTTGTACAAGCTATACAAGCTGTTAGAACTTGTACAATTAGTACAACTTTTACATGCTTACAACTCGATTAATTTTCTGTTAATTGACTTCATTTCTAGGAAAACAACGACAAGGATGAGTCAGCCGATCCAGAGTTCTAAATCTTCTTTAACAAAACGCCCTCATTTCTCTCAACTCATGGCTATTTGTCTCTTGAATTCGAATTTCACAAAACTGGGTGAACGCTGATCTGACTGTGATATTACTGTATTTGGTTTTGATAAAAGATTTATTGCATTTAATACAAAACTATTTCCCGGTGAGTTGATATGGACAACACTCATTGTTCGAGTTACAACGGAAAGTGTCTGGGCATTGATTGTTGACACATGGGCCTGAAGTTGAGTGGTTAGAAACTACAGCAACTACAGCAACAAGAATCGATTTCTAAGCAAAAAGTAAGCCCAAATCCTCACCAACACTTGTTCCATAAGCACAACGACAGCATACTCCGTTCACAGTGCAAGTGAATCCTGAAAACAACAAGAATTGAGTTGCTTGCAACAAGACTTGCTATCATTTCTAATACAGTTTGTCATGTTGTGGATTGGTTTGCTAATTGCTAATTGATAATATTGCTAATGAACCGCTAAAAGCAAAATAAACAGACTAACCTGAGGGACAGCGATAACCAGGAGATGTACAAAAGCCACCAGATGTTTCACGACCACCGCATGTCGGTTGTTGAGGAGATGGAGCTAAAGTAGGATTTACACATTTACTCTAGCACTAACAGATAACACTTACTCGTCGTGTGTCCTCGTCCATTCTTGCAACAATTATTCACACATGACCAATTTCTATTGAAGCTTGCGCACCAGCTCGATGTCCGACAAATATAGTTGCAACTGCGATACGAGGTTTGACAGGCTAAATCACAAGTAATGAACAAGGAAATAACTACTCTAATAGAAGCTCCGCTTTTCTCACTAGCACACTTAGCTTACTGCTTTCTCTTGCTGCTTTAGCTTGCTGCTTTTAGCTTGCTGCTTTAGTTTGCTGCTTCTGCTTACTGCTTTAGCTTGCTGCTTCTGCTTACTGCTTTAGCTTGCTGCTTTAGCTTGCTGCTTTTAGCTTGCTGCTTTCTCTTGCTGCTTTTAGCTTACTGCGTTAGCTTCCTGCTTCTAGCTCACTGCTTTAGCTTACTGCTTTAGCTTCCTGCTTCTAGCTCACTGCTTTAGCTTACTGCTTTAGCTTCCTGCTTCTAGCTCACTGCTTTAGCTTACTGCTTTAGCTTCCTGCTTCTAGCTCACTGCTTTAGCTTACTGCTTTAGCTTCCTGCTTCTAGCTCACTGCTTTAGCTTACTGCGTTAGCTTCCTGCTTCTAGCTCACTGCTTTAGCTTACTGCTTTAGCTTCCTGCTTCTAGCTCACTGCTTTTAGCTCACCGCTCACTTAATTTAACGTTTAAAACTAACGCGTATTCGACAAGTAGTAATTCCCATTGTTTCCACAAAGATACAAGACAGTGTATCGCGAAACAGCGGTGTTTGATGAGCTTGAAGATAATTGCGCAGCTGGCGCACTGTTCTCTGGCTCATAATAGACTTGTGAGAAGACGATTTGTAGAAATAGTGATCCGAATATCAATGCGAACAACATCTTTGATGGCTCTAAAATTAAGAAAATAAAAAAAAGCAAACAGCATTAAAAATAAGCAAACAATATATTAACGCAAAAATAAAGTGAATAAAATAAAGCACAGCGAAGAAGGACGGGTTCTTTTGAGAAACGGGTTTTACAAGTTTAGCGATGAAATTCGGGGGGTTCTTTTGAGAAAATTCGTGTCGGTAATGCTTGTAAAATGCTTGTAATGCTGTTTGCTGAACAAATGAAAAAGGTGAAAAAAAATCTTTGGAAATTTTAAAAGTAAGAATTTCTTGAGAATTCTTCGAGTCGGTCATCTAAACCGACTTACACACCTTGTACCTCAACCTAAATAGTCATCTCGAGAGAATTTTCACTTCGTCAACAACTTTTCTCAATGCCGTAAAAATTTGTAGAGTAAAAGAGTAAATAAAACGTTTCCTTTCGTATTTTAGGGCAAACAGAAGTGATTTTTCAGTCTCAAGAAGGGGGTGACGCCCCGGAAATTTATTTTTGTCAAGTGATGTCACTCGTAAACAATCATAACTTACAATTTTTGATCTTTACTTGGTTTTCTTAAATTTGCAATGCATTTTGTTTTTTTTTTGTTTGTTTGTTTCAATCAAAATAAATCTTTCCAAGTTTTCGTTTACATTTTAGCAAAATTTCCAAGTACTTTTCCAAATTCCAAGTATTTTTCCAAGTTCCAAGTATCAGTTCTCAATTCTTAGCGAAATGTTTTCAAGTTTCAATTTGATTTTTTTTTGAGCAAAAATGTCTTCTTAAGAGAAGAGTACTGACTCTTAAGAGAAGAGTAGTGACTCTTCTCTTAAGAAGAGGAAGTACTCTTCTTAAGAGTCACGAAACCATTCAAGTTTCTCACTTGGATTGAAATGTTCTATATAGGTCTCGATATGCTGCAATATTAAAGGAAACCTTCACTTTCCAGTTCATCATCGATTCACAGAAGTTTTGGCTCGTTATTCTATTGGAATAGTGTCTCTTATATTATATATGTTGTGTCCGATTTAGATTACAGTCTATATCGGACGTCTTATATAGATTGAACAATAATATAAACATGTTTAATATACGTTCTTAAGCGTTTTCTGTAGTTTTCTGCATTTTCAAAGGTCTGTTACTGTCTTTTTCTGAAAAGAAAACCAAACTATGAAACAATTTATTAGCGTTAGCAGAATAGATGCAAAATTACAACATACGACAACAAAAAACCAACAACAACAACGAACGAGTTAAAAATTTCTATTTATTTTTGCAGCTTAGGCTTAGGCTATTGTGACATCTTGAATTGCAGAGTCGGCCATCCTTTTTGCACGAACATCGATTGGATGAGCATTTTCCAGCACATAAGCAATGTTTATGGCCTAATGGAACACACAAAAATGAAATAAAGTTATAGTTACTTACCTTGTTTCCCGTGAATAGAAGAATAGAAGTTGTTGTGCTGGCATCTCTCCGCTGCCATTTTTCTCGCCCACATGATAAAGCTGCGCTCCCTTTTGTTCAATTACGAGCGCAAATCTTTTCAGCAAGTTGTTTTCGTGGTAGTTTTGTGGTAGTTTTGGTTTCTCGGAGTTTTCACGATGATTGTGGAGCGTTTCAACCATCAAATTGTAGGTTTCAGCGGTTGGAATTTGTCCTTTTGTAAAAACACGTCAAATTCTTCGTCAAAAAGGTCCCCCATCTGTAAAAAAAGCAGCATTTAATAGGAAAACAAGAAAACAAAAAATTCTCAAAAAAGACAATAAAATTTCTTTCAAAAGCGCAGAAAATTGCAAAAAAACGCTTAAGAACATATATTAAGCACGTTTATTATTGTTCGATCTGTATCGGACGTCCGATATAGACTGTAATCAATAAAAGACCTTTGAAAAATGCAGAAAACTACAGAAAACGCTTAAGAACATATATTAAGCATGTTTATATTATTGTTCAATCTATATAAGACGTCCGATATAGACTGTACGACCCCATGAAGCGACGTCGAAATTCTGAAATTTATTGATTATAATTCTAAAATTAGGAAACTTTATTAATTAAAATTCATCAGAATTTAGAAAAAGAAACCCTTACCGTCCACAATTCTAATGGAAGTCCAAACGGGGGACTGTCCGGGAGATCTTGAAGAATTGATTGAGACAGCGATTCCTAGAAAAGAATATATTAATAAAAATTAAATGATATTAAGTTATCAAATGATATTCAGTTATCAAAAACAAATAATCAATAGTTTTTGGTTTATTTTATCAAATTTCTACAACTCACCATCGATCCTTTGCAATCTAAATGTTTATATTATTGTTCAATCTATATAAGACGTCCGATATAGACTGTAATCTAAATCGGACGTCCGATATAGACTGTAATCTAATCGGACGTCCGATTTAGATTGAATCTAAATCGGACGGAAATCTAAATCGGACACAACATATATATAAGTGTCTACTTATATTCATACAAATATGGAGTCTGAGCGGCTATTCCAATAGAATAGCGAGCCAAAACTTCTGTGAATCGATGATGAACTGGAAAGTGAAGGTTTCCGGGTACCGTGTCGTTTTGCATCAATGATTTTTCTCTTCTGCTATATTCTCCTGATTGCAATCCGATTGAACATTTGTCATGTAAAACGACGATTACATGGATATCTATTTACTTCAAAAGATGAGCTTTGGAAGGCAAAGAGTATGAGATTTAGAAGTCGATCCTAGTGCTGACGCTCGAGAAACTAGTTGCAATGTTTAAGGTTCAATGTTTAATGCGCAATGCAATGTGCAATGTTCAATGTTCAATGCAATGTGCAATGTGCAATGCAATGTTCAATGTTCAATGTGCAATGCAATGCAATGTTCAATGCAATGCAATGCAATACATTTAGCATGTTTTCCACATCAGTAAAGCTTTATTTGTCGTTTCAAATCAAATTACAACTCTGTTTCCTCGTCGTACATAGCATCGATCTCAGCCATGAACTTTTCCCTGCAAGGTTGGCGCCGAATCTTCAGAGTTGGAGTAAGCAAGCCAGACTCAGCAGTTAGCTCCTAAAGCAGGAATCACATTTTTGAAGCTACACAAAACTGAAGAATTCTATAAGTGAATTCTAAAACTAAGAATTATGGAGCCTTATAGAATTATAAGGCTTAGCAGATTTGTTTTTAAAAAAATTACTTCAAAGGTAAGATACACTCTTCTCAGAGTCTCGATCGTTTGCAAGCCTTTCGATTTTCCGAATCCACTCAAGTATTGCGTCATGAACCTAGATTAGAATCGATTAGAATTTTGAAAAGCCAACATCAAACCTTTTGATCGGCTCCTTGCACAGAAACTCCTCCCCATCAGCAGATAAGCAAGCTTTTGTCTAAAATGAGAGATTGAAACAAGATTGCTTTACAGCTTTCGAAGATGAACTCTCACCTCAGAATCCCCATTTTTCTCAATCTCTTTCTTCAATGTTTCCACTTCAACAACAACAATTCCCACCAAAAACGAGCGAGTACTCAAACCGGTGACAAAGATCTAAACAATTTAGCCATTCAAATAACACTAACTCAAGATCTAACCTGATTCACGAGTGGACTCAAGCCAAGAATGCTTTCAATCGCTTCAGCTGAGACAAAATCCCTTGCGCTAACTTGAAAAGAGCATTCTTTCGATCAATAATCTTTAAACGACCATCTGGCAGCCACTCGCCAATATCACCCGTGTGCAGCCAGCCCTAGAACAGACAACAAGAAATATAACACATTGAATTTAAAGCAAGCTTAGCAAGCAAGCAAGCAAGCAAGCAAGCAAGCAAGCAAGCAAGCAAGCAAGCTTAGCAAGCAAGCAAGCTTAGCAAGCAAGCAAACATCTAAAAACCCTACCTGCTCATCAACCGTTTTCTTTGACAATTCTTCATCTCCAAAATATCCCTTCATTACAGCAGCGCCACGGAAGCAAACCTAAGAACATTTGATTTTAAATGACTAAATAAAAGCTAACCTCTCCCTTGTCGTTCGCAGACAAGTAGCCGAGTTCTGGAACATCAACCAATTTGATCTAAACAATAAACAAATAAATTTGGATTTAATAATTAATAATTACCTTTTAAACTACACATAGCACATCAACAATTACCCTTTTGTTGTTTGAAATGAAATAATTCATAGATCACCATTTCTCATCTCGATTTCTCTTTTCAATTAGCTCAATTAGCTCAATTTGTTGCGTGTGTTGTTGTTGTTTGTTGTTTGTTGTTGTTGTTGTTGTTGTTTGTTGTTGTTGTTTGTTGTTGTTTGTTGTTGTTGTTTGTTGTTGTTGTTTGTTGTTGTTGTTTGTTGTCAAATTGTTTGAATGAGTAACTTTGTTATGCATTTATCCGAGATTGGTCAAGTTATTGTAACTTGCTAAATCGGTATGCACGTCCGGTAGAACATGTTGGATGATATGATCAAGGTTTTGAGCATCAACCAATTCAATAGCCCTGCTTCGTGTCTTCCACTATCTCTCCAAATAACAAATCCTTGCGAACAACTCCGACATTATTCTTTAGCAACGTTAGCTTCATCTATACTAACTGTCAATAATGTATTTGTCCTCCAATCGCTGGTGCATCGAGATAGCTATCGTCTTAGCTATCGTCTTAGCTATGGTTTTAGCTATTGTCTTAGCTATGGTTTTAGCTATCGTTTTAGGTATCGTCTTAGCTATCGTCTTAGCTATCGTCCTAGCTATTGTTTTAGCTATCGTCTTAGCTATCGTCTTAGCTTCGACTAAGACGTCTCGAAACCATTGATGCCATTGGACAACTGTGTTGACATTCATTTCCACGTCGGACAACAATACCCGTTCAACAAGGATGACAACAATACCATTCAAGTACGCGAGTCTCTTTCGGATTTGATTGCAAGTTGAGGCCAGTTGATTCAAACTATTCAAACTATTCAAACTATTCAAGCTATTCAAGCTAATCTAGCTAATCCCGTGCAGCTAATCCACCCATCAAAACTATAACAACAAATCCTTACTTGTGCCCAGGGAGCAGGCGCACCAACATGTGTTCCACCAGTGAGGTCGCCCGGGAGATTCAACGTTCCAGCAGCTCCGCACTCAGTTTGACCATAACTAAATAAAAATAGAGAAACAGTCGAAAATAATATTTACCCCTCAAAGAGCGGACATCCAAAAGCAATTCTCGTGAAATCGTGCACAGCTGGTGTCACCGGCGCTCCTCCTGTCGTCAAGTAGCGTACTCGACCACCGATCACTAGTCGGATCTAAACCTCAACTCAGGAATGGATAGCTAACCCAGGGAATGGCTAGCGTGCATTCCAAAACTCCGGATCATCTCAAGGCTAACCTTCTCAAACACAAGCTTGTCCCAAATCGTGTTCGGATTGTTGATTCCACGATGCAACTGCTCAAGTTTCGCCTTTTTCGCAGCAGCGAACAGCTTTTTTGCAATGAAAGGCGCTTTGGCAATGTTAGCATGAACCTAAAGAAATTTTGGTTTATCTAAAAACTTTGCAAACTTGATCATATAGCTTGTTAAGGATTCTCGGGACAAGGCTGATCATTGTTGGCTTGAGATTTTGAATGTCTAAGATTAGCTTCTTTAAATCGCCTGAGTAGACGCCCACCCGGCCGCCAGTGTAAATGATGAAAGACTAAAATATAGGGTAAAGGTAAAGGTAAAAGTGTTTTTGTTCAAAAAAAACTACCTGCATTAAATGCTCATAGATGTGCGCTAGTGAGAGGAATGAAAAATAAGTGTCATTGGTGCCGAATTTGAAGTCATGTGGTGGGTGGCACCTGAGAATTGAGTAAACTAGGGAAAAGATAAGTCAAACCATTGCATATAGAGGCCGGACATGGCGGCGAGAAGGTTTTTATGTGTTAGTTGGACTCCTTTCGGTCTGCCTAGAAAGCTAGAGAGTTGTAATTGCTTTTGAAGTTGAAGACGGAACAGTTCTTAAAGCAGTTTGCTTGCACAAGTTGGTTATAGGGTTTTGTTGTTGACAGCTTGTCTTGTCTTGTCTTGTCTCTCTTGTCTCTCTTGTCATCTTGTCTTGTCTCTCTTGCCTTGTCTTGTCTTGTCATCTTGTCTTGTCTTGTCTTGTCTCTCTTGCCTTGTCTTGTCTTGTCTCTCTTGTCTTGTCTCTCTTGCCTTGTCTTGTCTTGTCTCTCTTGTCTTGTCTCTCTTGCCTTGTCTTGTCTTGTCTCTCTTGTCTTGTCTCTCTTGCCTTGTCTTGTCTTGTCTCTCTTGTCTTGTCTCTCTTGCCTTGTCTTGTCTTGTCTCTCTTGTCTTGTCTCTCTTGCCTTGTCTTGTCTTGTCTCTCTTGCCTTGTCTTGTCTTGTCTCTCTTGTCTTGTCTCTCTTGCCTTGTCTTGTCTTGTCTCTCTTGTCTTGTCTCTCTTGCCTTGTCTTGTCTTGTCTCTCTTGTCTTGTCTCTCTTGCCTTGTCTTGTCTTGTCTCTCTTGTCTTGTCTCTCTTGCCTTGTCTTGTCTTGTCTCTCTTGTCTTGTCTCTCTTGCCTTGTCTTGTCTTGTCTCTCTTGTCTTGTCTCTCTTGCCTTGTCTTGTCCTCTCTTGTTGTCTTGTCTTGTCTCTCTTGTCTCTCTTGTCTCTCTTGCCTTGTCTTGTCTTGTCTCTCTTGTCTTGTCTCTCTTGTCTTGTCTTCCTTGTCATTTTGTCAATTAGAGAACCAACCAGTTGTGCCTGATGTGTGACAAATTATATAAACATCATCGGCTTTTGGTGGATTCGGCTTGACTCGATTCTCTTCTCCAAGTTTCAAGAAATCGGCAAAGACAAGGATCTGGTTTTGGAGTTGAATTGAATCTTTTTCTATAGAGCTTTCTACAAAGCTGTCTACAAAGCTGTCTATAGAGCTATCTACAGATCTGTCTACAGCTTTTCTACAGCTTTTCTACTTTTCTACTTTTTCTAACCTTTAAATCCTCAACAGTGCTGATCTCTGAGAGGTTTCCATTTAACAAAACGAGTATCTAAAAAGGATTTCCATCGTAGTTTTGATTTTTCTTTACCTTAACCGACTCGATCAATCCTTCTTTACGTTTTTGAATGAAATCAACAATTCGTTCAGGTGTATCACAAAAGATCAACTCCAGCTGACAAGAGGCAACGATTTCGCTAAACCAAAACATATAGATGACTACAAAAAAAAGGATTTCAAATGTCGAGAAAATCAAAAGCTTTCCTTCGATTGTTTTGTTCTTATTTTAAACAAAAAAGCAAGCCTTACTGCTTTAGTCGTTTTCTAAAATATATAAATTTTAATTACAATAACGTAGGCTATAGGCTTAGCTTACAATAAATAAAGCACAATAAAGTCTAAATCGGGATATCAAACTTTGACAAACCAAATTGCATCATCTTTTGAGTTGTGATAGAGGGGAACAAGAGCGATTCCCTGTGAGATCAATCCCCACATCGCTTCCTCATAGTTGACTGAGTGGATCCCGGCAAGACCTAGGAGTTCAGGAATTCAGGAACAAATTGATATCTTAGATTAGATTCTGTTCCTCAACGTGATCTGACTCATTGTTCTACAATTTTTCTACAATTTCAGCCTGTCCATTGGCCTGTCCATTGGCCTGTTCATTGGCCTGTCCATTGGCCTGTCCATTGGCCTGTTCATTGGCCTGTTCATTGGCCTGTCCATTGACCTGTTCATTGGCCTGTTCATTGGCCTGTTCATTGGCCTGTCCATTGACCTGTTCATTGGCCTGATTAACCAAAGACAAACCGACTCTCGTCCCAGTTTGAATCCCCAAATTGTAAACGGCCGATCCAATCGTTTCTGCGATCTCCATCACCTGAACAATGAAAACTCTAAGAGCTCAGCTCTAGATTCAGACTTAAGACATAAAATCCGACATTTCCGTCTCTAGCAGTCCGTCGTACACCTATCAACGCACCTATCGTACACCGTCAAAAGAACGTCTATTGGAAAGCTAAGACTGCTAGAGTCTGAGCACAAATCTTTTTCAAGTCAAAAGCTCATCTGATCTTGAGATCTCGATCTCGTTTCTTTTAGTTTTCTATAACTCACCTCTTTATAAGTTTTAAAATGATATCTCCCATCGTTTCCGATTTCGCCGAGGAAATCAGCGTCTGGATGAATGGCGGTTGTTCTCTTTAAATTCTCCCACATCGTCGTTACAGTACCGCATGGAGGACCAGTGATTGGCTCTGGATTTTTTTAAAATTTGAATCTTTTGTATCTTGAGATCTTTTGTAACCTTGAGGTATTTTAGGAAAAATCTAGTCTAACGAATTTCTGGAAAATTCGAGCGACGATCAAAGCCGTTGATTTCTCTTTAGCTTATCTGGAAGGCACACTTGAACTTGTTGAAATCAGATTTTTGATTTACGAAGCTAGGGCCTATACGGTAATGACAGCATTGAGGTATACGGTAGCTCTAAAGATACGATAATGAAAGTTATATTTTAAACAAATTTTTATATAGCCTGCGTTCCAGGAAGATCCTTTTTTACAATAGATTCTCGACGACGACGTTTTAAGCGTACAATCGTCTAACGGATTTCTAGTCTAACGAATTTCTGGAAAATTCGAGCGACGATCAAAGCCGTTGATTTCTCTTTAGCTTATCTGGAAGGCACACTTGACCTTGTTGAAATCAGATTTTTGATTTTGGAAGTTTGGGCCTATACGGTAATGACAGCTTTGAGGTATACGGTAGCTCTAAAGATACGATAATGAAAGTTATATTTTAAACACATCATTGGATAGCCTGCGTTCCAGGAAGATACTTTTTTACAATGGATTCTTGACTACGGCGTTTTAAGCGTACAATCGCGTAGTCGTTACTGTTTCGGTGTTTATTTGGGTGTAAATCGAAAGAAAAACGAAAGAAAAAACGAAACTATTATAATCATTTGATAGCTTTAAATCTCCTTTTGAAAACTAATAAAAAGAAAATGAGAACTTTGTGCAAAATGACGAAGAAAAAGCTGTTGAAACGTCATTTGTGCTTTTGTTCGATTCTTTGCACTTAGAAAAGTGTTGTAAACTTTTCAAAACTCTAAGCCAACGTTTAAAATGTACGTTTACTTACCGTTAACAAGAATATTCTCATGGATTCGCTCATCACCAAACAAAATTCGAGAGTATTGAGTGAATTGTGGAGCTTTATAAAAGTCGCGCATCTGAAAAAAAGCAATTTTTAAAGCTTTTATAAGTAATTTGAATTGAAAAATTAACAAAATTGAAGTAAAAGATTGAAAATAAACACAGAAAAATGTCTATTTCATTGATTGTGAATTTGAAAATTGTTAAAAAAACAAAACGAAGCATTTCACAGCAAAACGACAATCTCTAATGTAAGGAGAAAAGCAAAAAAAATGATCGTATTGATTTTCGGAAAAAAAGAGGTGATAGATATTGATTTAAACAGTGCTAGATCGATTTAACACAGTACTAGACAGCTTTAAACAGTACTAGATAGCCTTAAAACAGTACTAGATCGATTTAAACTGTAAAAAACTGTACTAGACAACTTTAAACAGTACTAGACAGCTTTAAACAGTACTAGATAGCTTTAAGCAGTACTAGATAGCCTTAAAACAGTACTAGATAGCTTTAAACAGTACTAGATAGATTTAAACAGTACTAGATAGCTTTAAACAGTACTAGATCGAGTTAAACAGTACTAGATAGCTTTAAACAGTACTAGATAGCCTTAAAACAGTACTAGATCGATTTAAACTGTAAAAAACTGTACTAGATAGCTTTAAACTGTACTAGATAGCTTTAAACAGTACTAGATAGCTTTAAACTGTACTAGATAGCTTTAAACTGTACTAGATAGCTTTAAGCAGTACTAGATAGCCTTAAAACAGTACTAGATCGATTTAAACTGTAAAAAACTGTACTAGACAACTTTAAACAGTACTAGATCGAGTTAAACAATACTAGATAGCTTTAAACAGTACTAGATCGATTTATTAAGCTTTTAAGCTCAATTTCTAGAGTTTTAATCGAATTTTTAAAGGTTTGAAGGCTACAAAAACGGAGATTTTGTTGGAAAACTGCTGAAAAAATGGTTTTCCGGGTTAAAATCTTCAAATCCGCAAGAATTCGAAGAAATAGAAAAAGAAAAGGAAAAGTATGGTGAAAAGAAGATTGAAAGAAAATGAGACTGACCCAGATCCTCAGCAGAGAAAGAGAAGAGAACTTGATCGAGAAGAGATCCACTCGACCTCCTCTCTTTCTTTCACTCAATAAAATCCTCATTCTTTCACTCAATACAACCAAAAAACCTTCTCAACCCACTAAATTACTTTAGAAATAGTTGTTCAATAGTTGTTCAATAGTTGCTTAATTACTTTTTATTCAATCTTTATTCGAAAATTTAAAGATTTTTTGTAACCTTTGAAGATCTTTTGTAAGGTATTTTAGGAAAAATCTAGTCTAACGAATTTCTGGAAGACTCGAGCGACTATCAAAGCCGTTGATTTCTTTTTAGCTTATCTGGAAGGCACACTTGAACTTGTTGAAATCAGATTTTTGATTTACGAAGTTAGGGCCTATACGGTAATGGCACCTTTGAGGTATAGGGTAGCTCTAAAGATACGATAATGAAAGTTATATTTTAAACAAATTATTATATAGCCTGCGTTCCAGGAAGATGCTTTTTTATAATGGATTCTCGACGACGGCGTTTTAACGTACAATCGTCTAACGGATTTCTAGTCTAACGAATTTCTGGAAGATTCGAGCGACGATCAAAGCCGTTGATTTCTCTTTAGCTTATCTGGAAGGCACACTTGAACTTGTTGAAATCAGATTTTTGATTTACGAAGTTAGGGCCTATACGGTAATGACAGCATTGAGGTATACGGTAGCTCTAAAGATACGATAATGAACTTTATGTTTTAAACAAATTATTACATAGCCTGCGTTCCAGGAAGATGCTTTTTTTACAATAGATTCTCGACGACGACGTTTTAAGCGTACAATCGCGTAGTCGTTACTCATTACCTCATTTACCTCATTCTTTCACTCAATACAATCAAAAAAAAACCCTCTCAATTGGCTAAATTACTTTAGAAGTTGTTCAATAGTTGCTTAATCTTTGTTTAATCTTTATTTAATCATTATTTAATCATTATTCAATCTTTATTCAATCTTTATTTAATCTTTATTCATTCAAATCTGATCATTTTTTCAATTTTTCAGCATTGAAATCCTTGTAACACTTTCTCGTAGCCGTTGGGAATCTGGAATTCATGATCTGGATTTAAAAAAACACAAATTTCCATACATTTTTCCATTCAAGTCTCGACTCGATCGTTTCGCCGAGTTTATTATCGGGGAGAATCTGAAAAGCTTAGATTTTAAGAAGCTTTAAAGAAGCTTAGACTTTAAGAAAATCTTAGATTTTAAGAAGCTTTTTCAAAAGCCAACCTGTCCACAAAGTACTGTGTACAAAGCGTCACCGTTTAGGGAACCTGAAAACAAACGTCGACAAAGGCTTTCACAAACAACAAACGTCGACAAAGGCTTTCACACTTTTCAGTTGTACTTTGCTTGGTAAACACAAAGATTCTAGTGCACTTGAGCTTTCTTTTCGTAGTGGAATCAATTCTGAGCTGAATCTAGTATAAAATGGACTATGAATGTTCAGAAAGTAGGCATCATGACCCCAAGTTTAATCTGGTTGGCCTGGCTATGGCCTAGAATTGGAGTGGACTTGATCCAAGCCTAATACGAAATGAAATCACTTAGTTCTAGTTGGATTTGATCTGTTTCTAGCCATCGTTTAGCTTGATTTGACCAGATCTTGATAGGTTTTTATCAAAAATCTAAAAAGTGAACTTAAATGACCTACGAGGGGTCGAACCCGGAACGTACGGGCATCAGGGAAACGTGCTCCCGACTGCGCCATTCGACATAAGCAAAGAGTCAAAAAAACCCGCTGTTATAGCGAACTTTTGACTTTTGACCTAACTCGAACAGATCTGGAGAGGCTTTTTTCAAAAAGTCTCGTCTAAGGCCGGGTTTTTCTGGCCGGGGGCTTGTGTAGCTGTGGCGCGGTCGGGAGGGCGGTTCCCTGCAGGCCATACGATCAGGGTTCGAGTCCCTTAGTGATACTGAGCTGTCATGTTTTTAGTTTTTTATTTTAAATGGTACAACTACAATATAATCTAATGTTTTCTAACAAAGTTTTAGGTTTATTGGTTAAAAGACGGCGGAGTACGGCTGAGAATGGCTGAGAATGGCTGAGAACGGCTGAGAACGGCTGAGAACAGACAAATGAACAGAAAGACACTGCTCTTTTCTATCTAGTTTCTAAGATTTTGCGAAATTCAACATCAAAAACATTTTACCAGCTAAAAGGTATTCCCGTCCAGCCTCAACGATCAATCCGCAAGCTGGCGGCTCACTTGGAGTGAAGATCTCGTTGGGTAAAGTGCTGAGATTCGAGGGTTTCTAAAAGAATGACTCAAGAGGACATCATTGCTAATTGAAATTCACACTGAAAAGTTTGCTAAAGATGCCAAAATCCAGTTCTTCTAGATTCCAGTCTTGTTTTTCTGTTTTAAATCGTAATAATCAAATAAATGTTGTGCTCACTTTGAACACTTGCAAATGCTCGACACCGTATCGCAAATTGTTGAGTCCTTTCCGGGTTGATCCCTCGGGCAGCGGTTGTTTCGTTATTCGAAGCTTTACTTTAAGGTGAGAAACTGAAATTGAAAAAGGAATTGAAAAAGAAATTGAAAAAGGAATCAATTTACGAATTTAGTTGATACTTTAATTTTGTTTGATCATTTCTAAAATGCATCGACTATTTGGTAACGATTTGGCAACTATTTCATACCTATTTGGTCACTATTTAATACCTACTTGATACCTATTTGGTAACGATTTGATACCTACTTGATACCTACTTGATAGCTACTTGATAGCTACTTGATACCTACTTGATAGCTACTTGATACCTATTTGATACCTACTTGATAGCTACTTGATACCTACTTGATAGCTACTTGATAGCTACTTGATAGCTACTTGATAGCTACTAGATACCTACTTGATAGCTACTTGATAGCTACTTGATAGCTACTTGATAGCTACTTGATAGCTACTTGATAGCTACTTGATACCTACTTGATAACTATTTGATACCTATTTGATACCTATTTGGCAACTATTTAGCAGCTATTTAATACCTATTTAATACCTCTGTACGAGGGTTGATCAGTACTATTACAATACTATTACAATACTATTACAGTACTATTACAGCACTATTACAGTATTTACGGTACTACGATTTACAATAATACCTCTTTGATACCTATTTACCGTCTTAACCGATTACCGTAAATTTCTCTTTTACAAAATGAACCAAAAGCTGCAAAAAAGTTTGCAAAAAAAAAAAAAAAAAGACTAAACTGGATTAAACACTGGGCTAAATTGATTAAATTAAATTGAATTGTGGATTAAATGAATTGGATGTGATGAATGGATGAATTCGGGAAGAGAAATAGAAATTTACTTATGAAATAGACCATAAAATGAAGACATTTTATCGTCTATTTCATCTATTTCATCTATTCGTTTACGGAAATTGATTGAAAAATTGATTTTCAGTTTTTCAGAAAAGTCAAAAAGTCAAAAAGTCAAAAAGTCAAAAAGTCAAAAAATTTCGACAAAAAAAAACTTGCCCCATGTCGCTCGACAAAACGCGTCTTTCGCCGATAAATCTTGGCATTTACAAGCAAAAGCGATGCTCAAAAAGGCACAAAAAACCAATAGAAACTTCATGATTTCACTGAAAAATTCAATAAAAATTGAAAAATTGAAATTTTGATTGAAAAATGAAGGATTTGAAACGAAAGATTTGAAACGAAAAAAAGTCTTCTTGACCTGTGAGTCTAAAGGTTAGACTTGCAAGTCTTGTTGATCAAAGAATAACGAGAAAAAGCAGCAAATCGATCAACCAACAATCAAGTCTTCTTGACTTGAAAGTTTTTTTTTTTAATAATAATACTTTATTCCGATAAAGTGAAAGAAATGATAGAGAAATGCACAGTGATACTTAATCATACAATACATACTGAAATCAATAAGCCAATTACTTACGGCAAAGAGCCACTAGATCTAAAGCATCGATACGTTTCTTGAATATGAAAAGCGACTGAATTTCTCGTATGTCGTTTGGGAGCAAGTTCCATAATCTAGCGGCTCTAACGGGAAATGAATTTGATAAAGAGGCATTGGAAGCAAAGGGAATTTGCAAAAGGAATGAGCCACTTCTGGGCCCTGACCGCGGTTTAAATTTGAAAAAGTCTATAAACAAAGGGCTAATCTGTTTACAACGGAGGATTTTGAAAGTTTCGACTAAATCAATGACAAAGCGACGATGCTGTAAAGTTTTTAGTTCAAAAAAAGCAAGTCTCTCCTTTTTCTAAAAATTTTCAAATTTCGAGATTTTAGGGTAAAACCGACATTTTTCTTTAGAATTTTTATAAAAATTAAATTTATTTATTAGATTTTTAAGTCAATTGAGCCATTTTTTTTTGCGGCAATCCATCATTTTTGTAAACAAATCATAAAAGAAAAGAAAAAAAAAAAGCGGAAAGAGGCGAAAAAAGATGGGGAAAACGGAGGTGATCGATTGATTGCACAAAAAACACTTTTTTTTTTCTCTCAAGGTTAATCAGAAAATATCAGAAAATATAGAGAAAAGAAATAAAAATTTGAAAAAGATAATCCGAAAAAGATTTCAGATCCCCAACGGCTACGAGGTCGTAATCGGGAAATTTTTAAGAATAAACAGTCGCTAAGTGCACAAGAAAAGCACAGAAAAGCAGAAAAGTCATCTGTTTTCGATAAATATGATTCTCAGGTACAATTGAAGTACAAATTTGTCATCCTTTCTAGTCAGTCAGTCAACAAAAGTCGGATTTTCGAGCGGTTGATTGAGTTCGGGAAATAGGAATTACACCTGAAAATTGACAAAACAAAAAGAAGAGGAAAGAGAAGAGAAAAAAAGAAGAGAAAAAAGAAGTGACTCATCGCGAAAATTCGGTGATTGATCCGGTTTTTTTTAAAAAGATTAATGAGTTTTATAGATTATCTTTTATACATAGTAAAGATTCTAATAGAAGAGTCTATTTCTAGAAGCATAGAAGCCTAGAAGCCTAGAAGCCTAGAAGCCTAGAAGCCTAGAAGCCAAGCCTAGAAGCCTAAAAGCCTAGAAGCCAAGCCTAGAAGCCAAGCCTAGAAGCCAAGCCTAGAAGCCAAGCCTAGAAGCCTAGAAGCCTAGAAGCCAAGCCTAGAAGCCAAGCCTAGAAGCCTAGAAGCCAAGCCTAGAAGCCTAGAAGCCAAGCCTAGAAGCCAAGCCTAGAAGCCAAGCCTAGAAGCCTAGAAGCCTAGAAGCCAAGCCTAGAAGCCTAGAAGCCTAGAAGCCTAGAAGAGCCTATTTAGCCATTCTAAATTTTTTTAGCAACAATATGATGTTTCTAATCGAAGAGCTGGCTCTTTATATTTGGGTTACTGAGTTTTGTAACGGTCCAGGAAATGTGCTTTGCTTTCGTTGTTTCCATTCAACTCCGCAAACGATCTAACAATCACCTTTGGCTTTCATTGCGAAAGGCTATGCGAAATTCCGGATTCTCCACTCGGCTTTCAAATGGAAATTCAAATGTTTTTTTTCTTATTTCAAAGAGAAAAACAAAATTTATCGCGTAAAACAATAATTTCAATTAATCTAAAAAAAAAACAAATGATTTGAAAAATGAAAAAGAAACGACAACGCGGTGCTCCCATCGACTACCTCCAAATGATTGGAGTGACGTCAATTGACGTCAATTGGAAATGCGACGTCGCACAGAAATGACGGAAAGGGGGTAGGCTAGTTTCCGCAACAGGATCATTTGCGCAACTCACCATAACTTTCTTCTAAGTGGACCAATCTTTATGATTTGTGGTCTCATTTTGTAGATCTCAATAAGTGCAACAAAATGAAATCAAAATCATAAAGATTGGCCCACTTAGAAGAAAGTTATGGTGAGTTGCGCAAACGACCCAGTTGCGCAAATGACCCTGTTGCGCAAAAAAAGTTGCGGAAACTAGCCTACCCCACGGAAAGCACACATCTCTCATTTTTCGTCTCGACTCGGCTTTCAAATAGAAATTGTTTTTTTTTTCTTATTTCAAAGAGAAAAACAAAATTTATCACGTAAAACAATAATTTAAATTAATCTGAAAAAAAAAAGATTCAAAAAAAAGATGCAAAAAAATGATTAAAAAAAACAAATGATTTGAAAAATGAAAAAGAAACGACAACGCGGCGCTCCCATCGACTGCCTCCAAATGGCGGTGACGTCAATTGGGAATGCGACGTCGCGCAGAAAATTTAAATTAGATTTAAAATTAGCGACAGAAATTCAAATGAAATCAGTTTTTAATCATCGAAATCAGTTTTTCTAATTTTAATCGCACTCGATCGACTCCAGCGTTTCCGTGAAGTTAACTGGGTACTAAAAAAAAGAAGTTAACTGGGTACTTTCTCAAAAATTTCAATTTTAACTTAAAATCTGATTTAAATCGATCTAAAATGTCGAAATTTGTCTAAATTTAGCGATTTTATTGAAAAATTTTCTTTTTTTCAAACCTTTTCCCATTTCAATTCGACATTTTTCGGTTTTGGAACGATCTAAAATCAAAAAAATCAAATGCAAATTTCGATTTTCTTCAAAAACCTGATCGCAAATCTCCATTGTCAACGTGCCATTGCTTTCTTTACCTGAAAAGGATTCAATTTTTGAAAAAAACAAAAGTCTCTGGTCGCACCCGGGGTCGAACCAGGGATCACTCTCACGAGAGACTAGGCAGCTATCCACTTGACCAGGACAAAAGTTGTGAATTTTGCAAAAGTTAAATATCAGAAAGTTGCCGTGAGTTCCAGGATTTACAATGGGATTTCAAAAATCGCCAACCGGATAGCAGAAATTCGTTATCGCCGCCCAACTCGAGCATCACCCCACAAAAGGAGTCAAATGGAGCGGTGCGGATTTCTGGGGAAAGCTCTCGGGTGGCATTCGATGGATACTAAGGTTTTCGATTAAGATTTTGATATTTTAATGTTTTAATGGAACCTTGAACACTTCCAAATGAGTGACGGTGTATTGGCGGATGTGCTTTTCGATGAGCAGCTCGGTCGAGTTGACGTAAACGCGGGAAACTGGAGAAAGAGAGATTTGATAAGCAGAAAAGGGCATAGGCCCAGGCCTTTAATTCAATAATTCAATTTTTGAAAAAAACAAAAGTCTCTGGTCGCACCCGGGGTCGAACCAGGGATCACTCTCACGAGCGACTAGGCAGCTATCCACTTGACCAGGACAGAAGTTGTGAATTTTGTAAAAGTTAGTTATCGGAAAGTTGTCGTGAGTTCCAGGATTTACAATAGGATTTGAAAATCGTCTGGTTTTTTAGGGTTAAATCAGAGAATTGAGCCAGCTATGAACTGAAAAAGGCTCAATCCTTTATTTTGGGGTGTGGCTTGATGAAATTGATAAGCAAAGTTTAGCCAGAAAATGGCATAGGCTTAGGCCTTTAATTCAATAATTCAATTTTTGAAAAAAACAAAAGTCTCTGGTCGCACCCGGGGTCGAACCAGGGATCACTCTCACGAGAGACTAGGCAGCTATCCACTTGACCAGGACAGAAGTTGTGAATTTTGTAAAAGTTAGTTATCGGAAAGTTGTCGTGAGTTCCAGGATTTACAATGGGATTCGAAAATGGTCTGGTTTCTTAGGGTTAAACCAGAGAATTGAGCCAGCTATGAACTGGAGATGGCTCAATCCTTTATTTGATGAAATTTTGATTCATATTTGATGAAATTAGGTTAAGCTAATGTGAAATGTGTTTGAAATGTGTTCTAGTGAGAGTTTGTGAAATGTTTTTGGAAGAAAATCGACTGCTTTTGATGCTTTACCCCAATCGGCTTGACAAAACGTGGTGTTGACGGGCGATGGAGCGCAAAGACAAACGGAAATCGAGGGAATAATTGCGAAAATGATCAACAAATAACAAAAGAACATGTTTTTAGGCACAATTTTAAGCAATTTAAGCAATTTATTCGTTTTTCAGCACAAAATTCTTTCAATTTATTTGAAATTTTCGCTTTTCGGCTGAATTTGAGAGAAAAATGACAGAAATTGATAAACAAAAAAGTTGGCGAATGGCGTTTTTCGAATTTCGTTATTTCGTAAAAAATCGCTAAACAGAAATACAAGAAAATGGGGATTTGTAAAGTAAAGCTCTCAGTGCACCAGGTGATTTGTGTTTACAAAAAGACCTTAGCTAATAAAGAAAGATGATGAAATGATGGTGGCGAAATGAAATGAGAAACTAGACAATTCTAGATCAAACTAGATTGAAAATTTGATTCTAATTCCGAATTTGCTATTCGTTTTTGTGTTTTGAATCGAAGAGGAATCTGGTAAACATGTTTTTCCTTTTAGGAACATGAAAACAATTGATGAAATGAGGCTGGACACAGTGGAAGGCTGGACACAGTGGAAGGCTGGACACAGTGGAAGGCTGGACACAGTGGAAGGCTGGACACAGTGGAAGGCTGGGCACAGTGGAAGGCTGGGCACAGTGGAAGGCTGGGCACAGTGGAAGGCTGGGCACAGTGGAAGGCTGGGCACAGTGGAAGGCTGGGCACAGTGGAAGGCTGGGCACAGTGGAAGGCTGGGCACAGTGGAAGGCTGGGCACAGTGGAAGGCTGGGCACAGTGGAAGGCTGGGCACAGT